CTGCCGTCTCGTTTTTTCGCTGACAGATAAAATTTCTGAAGACATTTGTTTAGCTCTGGTGGCGACATTTCTTCAAATGGTGTTGCAAACTCTTTCTGTATTTGAAACCATTCTGTAAAAAATACCATTCAACTTTGATTTTCAAGTGAACAAGTGAGGTTACGCAAGATTAATTTGCATTTGTAAACAAAACCTTTTTCATTGGTTTTTATCGATAAACTCCCGGTTACCATTACCTTTAAACACGGCCAAACCAAATTTAGTCGCTTTCTCTGTGTTTTCAGGGACTGCTTCGTCGTTATTTGAGTGATTTATTCGCTTGACACGGATGCAAACCGGCACGCCATTTTTTCCCGAGTTGCTCGGAGGTAAATAGCAAAGGATATTCGGAGTTTGACTAGCCAATCAGAGCGCGCCTTCAACGCTATCCACTGTTTTAGTATATACTAATTAAGGATAAACGATTGTTAAGCAAATAACGCAAATGAATGAAAATTTGCAACAGCCACATAACGAATTGGAAAAGATTAAGATAGATATAGGATACCATTTAAAACTCATTTTGTAAAAGAGCTGGGATAGAATTAAAGAGATGGGAAATCAGTAGAGATTCATCGAGTAATAAAGAATGATGTAATTCGTTTTTTTCCACCCGCAAAGGACATTTAAGTATGTTTAAGTTCCTTGTGTGACCTATTGTATTAAGAAAAAATAATCAGAGTGCAGTCAAAACTCACCGTTTTCCCGTGAGCAGCCATCTTGTAAACTCCAGCGAGCGTGTTTCTCATGGCATACTTGGTAAGATTCTCCTCTTCCACTTCATCTTCTGGGAACGTTTCCACAAAGTCAGCATACCTGATGATAGCAAAACACCACGCATTTTTCCTGTACTATTTGAGAATGCTTTAATTGAAAACACACGTGTCCATTATAATTCGCGAACATGGGCTCACACTTTGAAAAACTCATGGAAGTCTCTTAATAGTCCCTTTTACATTGGTCTTGGTGTCCAAGCCTTTGAACAGGAGTGAGGCTAAGGGTGGCCCTGTTGTGATAGAGACCTGTATCTAGTTAGCATGATCACAAAGTAATTTGCATTTGAAAAGCAGCAACATCTCTATCATAACAAGGTCACCCTAAGCCTCACTCCTATTCAAAGGGTTGGCCACCAAGCCCACAACTTTAAAAAAGGACTATTCTCTAAGGCAACCTCTCCAATGGTAAAGTCGGAATTGAGAGAGGAGATTAAAAAAAAAAACTATTCTATATTAAACTTCTACACTTTTGTTTCCAAGTTGCGACCATTTAATAGCATTTCCATAAATAAAAAATGTTTTTACTCAACAAATAGTTTTAAAACAAAAATGCTATCCTACAAACGGAACAAAATTTTGACATGTAACACAAAAAGGAGACTGTACCAGTTTTCCTCCATTGATCTTGCCACGCAGGCCTGGGCCGAGATAAGCATCGCAGGAGTCACTTTGTCTAATATCGGAATGTCCCGGATGATTTCAGCATTGCAATGTAAATACTCAGCTAAAAAGGAACAAATTGAGCATCAGTAGTATATCAGGAACCACGACACGCGGTTTACAAACAGCTTCAACCTTGGCCATCACAAAAGTTCACTATTTGAGTCAACACTGCCCACGTTGTTGGCGTCAAGAGTTGGAAAATGAGGAGTGGGACTCTGCTACGTCAGGGATGGGCGACGTGGTTACTAAGAAGAATTCAAAATGGCGGCTTTCATTTACAAAAGCTAAGCTCAGTTAAAGAAAACTTTCAAAGGGTAAGATTACAATTTATAATAAAAAAAACGCGGTCAGTGTCATTTTTTCATTCAGAATTATGGATAACAACAAACATATGAAACATATGTATGAACTGCGGTTATGAAACGTATATGTGCACGATCCTTCGCAGTAAAGCACTATTTGAGCAATAGTGAAAATCAGACCTGAAAAAAATTTCAGGCCTGTACGGGATTCGAACCACTGACCTCTGCGATACTAGTGCAGCGCTCTACCAATTGAGCTAACAAGCCAACTGGGAGCAGGCCAGTTGGCTTGTTAGCTTGTTAGTTGTTAGCTTGTTGGCTTGTTAGTTGACTATCCAAGAATTATGGATAGTGGAGAAAACTTATAGCGTTTCTTCGACCAACTTCTCTTCTAAAGGGCTCTGAAAAATATTGACTTTGTCAAAATCTAAACACTAACCAGGGGTTTTCGGAATGTTGATGAAGTATTTTTTCGTTATGATTGTAGCCCTGGTTTGCCGAGCCTTTCCGTCCTTGCAGTTTGATCTCATGTGTTCGACCGCCTGCCAGAACATGAGAGGAGCCTCGCTTTGTTTGTCGGATAAGTAACGTTTGAACCATATAATCTGTAGGTTGCTGTGCAAGACATCGTTTAAGCATCTGACAGACCAAAGAAACAATCTTCATGTTGTCACTAAGTCAGTTCAGTATTGCTATAACTCTTTTGTAAGTCACGGGCGTAACGCATAAGCATACAAAAACTTACGAATTCCTTTTAAGGGATCAAAGCGTGGATCAAAGCCGTGATGAGGAAAACGACTTCAGAAAAAGGAGAGGAATGCTTTTTCTTACGATAATTTGCAATGCAGATGCCTGCATGGGAAAAAATGGGCAGTTTCCATCCAAAACTAAAAAAAAAAAAAATAACTTAGAAAACTTGGGTGAAATCAAATCGAAGGCACTATCCTTGACTGTTGCATTTTGTTCTCCTCATTTCCTCTTAATCAGTGTCACCTTGGTTACCTCGGTCTCGGTGGTCTGACGTGTTTTCCTTCACCAAACCCTCTCTCCTCAGATGCGTCTCCTCCCACCTTGGTCACGGGACCGTAGAAGTGTGAGGCCCTCATGTTCTGTTGTATGTTCCCCGCCTGTTGTTGATCCTTCAGACTTGGAATTTCAAAGTTCTCCTCGTGTGCCTCTTGTTCATCTTCATCATCGTCGTCGAGACCATAAGAAAAACCTAGGATATGAAACAATAGTTGGGATCAGTGTCACTTTCTGAGAAACTGCGTACTTACCCCTCCCCTCCCCCTAACTCAACAACAGTCAATTGATAACAAGTTAGGGCTTGATAAGTAATAGCACACAAACTGCAGTTGCAAACATGACAGTAAAACGCATGTTGGAAAATAAGATTAGTAAACTGTACTTGACGTTTCGTGTGTTTTGACAGACGTCTTCAGAAGTGACAGTTAATAATACACGTGGCCTCTAAGTTTAAATTTAAGATTAGTAACTAATTAATATAACAATGAACAAAAGAAAAACATTTTTGCATATACAAAGATGCAATCTAATACAGATAAAGCTTATCGCTGCTGACACTTAGTCGCCACGTGTATTATTAACTGTCACTTCTGAAGATGTGTGTCGAAACATACGAAACGTCAAAGTAAAGTTTACTAATCGTATTTTCCAACATGCGTTTTACTGTCATGTTTGTAAGTGAAGTTTGTGTGCTATTTCTTATCAAGCTACGATGGCCAAAGAGAAAGAATTTTTAAGTTAGGGCTCATTTTGGGCTAGGGAAGGGGTGGGTGCACAACTTTTCAGATACTGAAATTGACGATCGTATGACATTACACTCACTCGCGTCACTCGTCATCTGGTAAAGACAGTACACGAGCTAAAATATCCAAACGACCAGCGACAAGGAGTGTTACCATTCTCCCCCACCCCACCCCTGGAGGAAAATGCCACAGCGTTCCAAAAATGCTCCTCAGTATTTTGTCAAGATTCCCTAACAATTCGCTGGTATCATTTTTAACACGTGGGTGGAGATGGTGACTGTGTCAATAAATTGTCTCACAAGAGAACACAGCAAAATTTCCCGGCTAATAAGCCAACCCAGTCATTAAGTGTGATTTGCGAATTGTTGAATAAAAGAACCAAAGTGCCGTTGCACTTTATTTTGTTAATTTGACGTCCTAGAAGTTAAGTTTAAAGCGACACTGATACCCTTGCCAACCTGCCTGTCAGTTGGAAGTTCAGCCTGTTTTCTCTTACCAGAAAATCCAAGCCCAACGGCCAATGAAAAGGCATGTTGTGTCTTAGAGCAGTTGGTCACCCACAGTCTGGCATTTTTCACATCCGGTTTGACTTCTCTTTTCTTCCTTCCGCTCTTCCTTGGAACTCCCTGTGAAAAAAAAAAAATTAAATAGTTTAAACGAAATAAGGAAATTAAATGTTCTGGGACAGAGGCAGCAACTCCCATGTTTGTAAACCCTTTGAAAAAGGTCGTACAGACAGCTACACGATGTACTGGTATCTAGGTCTATCAAAAGCAACTAATTCTTAATCTTTCGCTGCTTCACTTTGGTGTTCTGCCACAATTAAGAAAAAATATATAGGATATAAAAAAAGAGGCAAAAACAGATTTCTACGTTGCAATATCTATCCTTCTCCTTGTCGAGCTGGATTAAAATGATTTTAAGACTTGAAAAAAGAATTTAAAAAATGTAAACAAGATAACTTATGTTTTTTTCTCTTGCAGCTCTAAGTACTTTCGTCAATATAGAATTAGTTATATGAAAAGCTACGAAAAATGCAATGATAAATGTAAAAACGAAAAAAAAAAAAAGAAGAAAATGAGAAGAGAAAATGTGAAAAGGAAAAAGATAATTGGATTACAATGCTCTGCAATGACCTGTGAAGATTTATTCGTAACTTGTTTCTTCACTTTCTCAGCTGCAATAATCTTACCGCAAAATGAATAAAATGATCTTCGTCAGATTGGGTAAATTCACTCCAAGGTAAAGTGACAGTCTGTGAAAAGATGGAGGAAGTAAAAATCTACCATAAAGTTGACATTTTCCGAACTCCTTGATACTTAGATATAAATCCTGTATCACTATATTCCGGTGAGCACCCGTGGACCCTTTTACAGGTTATAAATTATACACTTCCTTGGTCAAATAATCTTCCGTTGGTGGACACCCCAAAACCACCAACTTAATCCTATTTCAATTAATTGACTTCGCATTGCTGTTTGTCCCTATAACTCTACAATGCATTAAACACAGCGCTACATTTAATTTCTCTGTTTGTTTTATCGTCATGTATACACAGTCACTTTTCGAAAACCTATTTATCTGGGCAAACCTCTGCTGACACCCCCTGTGGCCGCTTTACAAAACTTAATTTACACACAGTCAGCTAAAGTTACATAAATGCTTTTCGTTCCCAAAGTGTGCCCGCATAAAAGAACTACCTTTCAGTGAAGATATTCACGTCTTACCCATAGTTTACCTGCAAGGACGCTTCCAACACAGAGGACAACAATTGACTACCACGTTGTAGAGGAAGAAGCCGCATTAAATCAGCCCTAGTCTGTGGGCTCATTTCTACTTTTCTCGGGGAATCGGGGGCGATATAGGTGGCAATTAGTGTCTTTCCCAAATGGTATTTGCTAGAGCTACAAAAATCATTCCTAAGTGACAAATACTCTTGAGAATCTTCCCAAAACTGAAGACACCTGAGAGCTGTTTCTTCCCGCGTTTTCTTTAAATATTCACGGAGAGGTCCGCCGGCCAGTTTGTCTGCAGTTACGGCTAATGATGTTGTCAGATTCATATCTGAAAGAACGAAAGGCAAAACCATGAGGGTTTGCAATATTTTTTTGACTCAAGACTCATAACCGCCAATCAGAACAAAAGAAAATGACACCATAAACCAATGAGAATTCACCGAAAATGAAAAAAAAACAAAACAAGAAGAAAAAAACAGAAAACATCATAGAGGGTGGAAAAACGCAGCTGACCAAGTATCTGCTTGGTTGAAAAGATGGCACAAAGCAGAGTAAAGCAAAATCAGTACAGTCCCCTAATTACTTTCAGCACTCAATTCAAAGATTTCTTCTCAGCTTGTAAAATATGGTATATACGAAGTAACAACATATCACTCGCCTATGTTAGCCTGCGGGATAATAAAGGGTTCTCCATTTGAATCCCTGGGGTATAAAACACACGGTTTCACAACGGCTGATGCTGTTTCGTTCCCAGTTTCCTCAAACGGAATTAAATACGAGGCGGAAGCTTGTTGAAGGGCTGCGCAAACAGTCAGTTGAGTTGTCACTGAAAAAGAAAATAGAAATTTTCATAAATAACTCATGAAAACAGAAAAGTAAGTATAAATATTTCCATCACCGGAGTTGCTGTTCATATATCCTTGAAAAAACAATATTTTGTATACAGGAGCAATTAAAACAGAGAATGGATCAACTAACATGTCTAAGTAAAAAAAAGGTTTATTTAGAGTAGTAAAAAACCAGACTAGCTGAGTAGTTGCATAAATTAGTAAACTTGACTTGAGTTGAATAAACGTCACTTTTAAACCTCAAACTTCAACCCCTTTCGTAAGATAAACGGTACCAGAACTCTTTTTTTTTAAAGTTCTGTTGCCAGTATCTTAAGAACACGTTGACCTTTGAGTTTGACAACAATATCGCACATAATTCATGACTGGTGAAAAAGAAACGTTTTTAATCGGCTCACCTGATTTGGACCTGCTTGATGAGGTGCTCTTTGCTGATGATTCGTAAAGTTCCTTGTCATGTTCCTCGGTGATGCTGTTTCTTTCTGATGCTAGGGCCTCGTACAAAGTCTTAAGCTTCCTAGGCGCTGATGAAGGCATTTTGGCGAAAGGAGGGTGAGGCATGGGAAGAGAAACGAGTGATTTTGGCTCGGGATCAACGATTTCTGATTCATCTGCAAATATGAAAACCACATTCAGTTTCAAATGAGCAGGCAAAAAGAAAGAGAAAAAGGAGAAAGAGAAACCGTAATATTTGGGGACCCTAAGAAGTCACAATGTCGACACCAAAAGAGACGTACGTAGGTCAAAAGCTGAATTCACATCTTTTGGGAGAATTTCGCGGTTGATACCATGCGATAACCTTCTGTATAAAGCGCCACACCAACACTGCGGTCAAACAGCTGTGCATGCGCGAACGTTGTAATAATTAGGTGGTGTGCCTTAGACGTGCTAAGAGGTACAAAAAACCACAGCAGCCAGTTAGTCACGGTGAATTTTTTGGCAAAGCTCAGAAAAGATGGTAAATAAAGGGGATCCCCGTGCTTAAATTAGCTTTGTTTTCGGAAATTCTCGAGTTTTCCTTTTTCCGTAATTTTACTTCCTTCTACAGATTTCAATGAATATTGCAATTTTCTTCGGCTTATTTTGCAAGACAGCCGTTGCTTCTTGTGTTTCACTTGAGAAATTTTGAGTTGCATCGGCGGCAAGTTGGCACGTAACCGGCCGAAATTGATCAGGCGCATGCCCTATGTTTGAGCGCTGGTGTCGCCATACTCCATCTTCTAAAACGAATTTAAGAACGATAATGTTCGGAATAGACCGCATCTCGACTGAGTGTCGAAAAACCATTTCTGAGGTAACCATAACAGCCGATCAGAACAAAGGAAAGTATCTCAAGGAACCAAGAAGATCTTAAAGTAAAAAAAATAAAGAAAACTTTCTAGTAGTATAGGGCACCACGATAAGCGCTAACCGATGACAGAGCAGTATTCGTGACGAGCGAGAACAAAGGGGTATGACAAAACATGGTCAAAAAGTTGGCGACTTGATTTGTTGCGCTCTTGAATTCAGTCCTCATGGTTTGACTTCCTCTTTTCTTCACTTGATAGAGTAAAATTAGAATAACTTTTCTGGTAATAAAATAAAAGCTTGAGGGCACCTTCTTCCTCGCCGGTATTTTCCATTTTATACCATCTATCGTTGCCATAGGTTGATAGTGCAGGATCTGAAGCGGACAAGTCCGTGGGAGATAGAACAGGGTGGAATCTTGTACCGTAAGTAAACGACCGACTGAAGCCTTTGAAATCATTAGCAGTATCCAAAGTAGGCAAGTCCTTGAGAGATGGAATTTGGCGGAATCTTGTAACGTAAGAAAACGACCGACTTCTGCCTTTGAGACCTTCGGTATCCGACGAACTTGCCGCAAGCCTAGCTTCTTCCTCCTCAGGGAGCGGACTTGAAGATGGTGGAGCTGAACTGATTTCCTCGTGCCCTCTTATCTGCCGCGGGAACGTAATGATGGTTACCATTCAATCATATGTGTATTGACGACTAATTTTGTACAAATAAAAAAAATGTGAATGGACATATACCAGATTAACTGACTAAGAAATTGCTATCCTTCAAACCCCATAAGCGACATGGTACTAAGTTTAAGTTATCCCATCGCCTTTCTATTCCACGTACCAATAACATAAAACGAGTGTTTTTTCCTCAAAATACTGTTAAATTGGGGAACAATGTTTATGATTTAGTTTGCCTCCCAACTGTAAAGACATTTAAAAGAAGTTACTCTGATTTTACATGTATCATGAGGGAATTCACGCCTGATAGTTTCGGAGTTTATAGATCAGTTATCTTAGCTATTTAGTTAATTGATCAACATTATATTATTCCGTTATTGTGAGTTAGTAGGGAATTTAAGCAAACCACGACGGCGACGGNNNNTCTTAAATTTGGTAATCACGACGTTAATTTAAAATTTCTTCCAATGAGGTTTGCCTATCTTTTTCCCAGACTGCGACCGCGATGAGGAAGCAATGGAAGGGGGAACTGTCCCGCTTCCTTCTGCTGCACTCTTTCGGCTTGCCATAGAACTATAGGGTACTGCTTTCAGTGCTAAGCGTCGATTTTGAACAAAAATAGAAAAGCAAATGGCTTTCACATAGCGACATATTACACGGTTATCGCAGAAAGTGCTGGAATTTAAGTAACCTTATGAATGCACAGCATCGCCGGTCAACATTCACAAGGATTGAAGGCTTGTGGTCTGCTGGTTTCCGCTGATGTCAATTTTTTGTCTAGTCAACCTCGCAGTCGTTTTTAGGGTCGTCACGCAACGACCCTAAAAAACGGCTGCGAGGGTGACTACTTTTTGTTTGGCATGAATGTCGATTACTGCAAAGGGATTGTGTTGGAGAACAATGAGCATAACAACATACTCATTTCGAAGCTGTATTCAAGGCTACCATGCGTATCAGGATATCTGGGATGCACTGAGTTGTTAGTGAATTTCTGGATTGTGAAGTAAGTAAGACCTTAGATTTCAAAGATGTGATTACAGTACACTGCCTATGATTGTAACGAATTATTTCAAATCCATTTCCACGGTACGAGCTGGATAACCCAAGCGACACCCATGCTATTGCCGTTAAACGGCTTCAAGGCCAGGAAGGGAAGCAAGAGATCGTGGGTCATGTCCGACTGACACTTTCACGTGTGTTTCGCTTGTTTTTAAGTCACAGTGGACAAATTTCAGTTGAAGTCACCGGCAAAAGGAGAAACAAAGGCATTGGACTGGAAATTACTGCCACTTACACCTTTTACCACACGAACTCGTCAAAAATAAAGAAGTTAATAGAACTAAAAAGAGACAAAGAGGATATGGCGGCTCTGTATATGTGTCAATAGCGTCAGTGTCGGCATTGATTTCATAATGAGCTGTTAACTGTGAAGTCGCTTTATTGTTGCAGAATTAAAGGATTTTGATTGTTGTTGGTCTGTTTCGCATGTGTCGTTTGTCACGTGTTGACATTTGTTCGATATATCGAGGTCTTTCTAGACGTGCAGGCTTCTGGATCGTGTTCGTTGTGACGAGGATTTCGTTTTACGAGGTTCGTTATATCGCTGTTCTGTCTCATACATTTTACTATAACTTTAGCTAGGCTGAAAAGTATCGTTCGTTATACCGAGGACTTCGTTATATAGAGGTTCGTTGAAATGAGGTTCCACTGTATTATAAATAATTACAAAAAAGACAGTGTAAAAAATCCAATAACGAAAAAGAGACTAGAGTCCAAACTTCGTAGAAAATGTGTATTAACTTGTCAAAACAACCAGAACATTCTTCAAATTCCAAACTGAGAGATAACAAATTGGCGTGAACGAAAACTCAAAACAATAACCAAAACAAACTTCGTAAAAAAAACCAAAAAACAAAAGATACGCGCAAAATGTCCACATCAGTTTTAAATGCCAAGGTTAAAGTTTTTTTGAAGTGATTGGTTAAGGCGGCTGAACACAGTTCTTGCGCGCGCTTTTGCGGATGCAATTCAGCACAGGGATTGCAAAAAACAAACATGCCGTCAGTAGAGCGGTCATTTTATTTACTCAACACCTACCCGCACTATCTGTGCTATAGTTTTCTCTATAGCTGGCGCAGTGTATTGAAGGCTTTAATCTTTTATTACAAAGATATGTTGGAAAAGTTAACGGTGCAAAGAACCCAGCAATTCTCAAGTTTTTCGTCGTTACCGAAAGAATCCAGTTAAATGCAGCGCATACGTAGTAAGTAAAAAATGCGATTGAATGGCAAATTGCTTTCCCGGAAATATGCCTATTTCTTGAGAACCATTCATTAGAATTTCACGAAATTTGGCAGGAAAATACTTTAGGAAATAAGTAACTGGAGTATTGAAAAAAAATTGATTTTAAACCAAGAAAATTCTAGAAAATCGAGTGAACCTTCAACAAGGGATAATTTAAGATCTCTGTTAAATTGTTAGCAAAATGGTGTTAACTTGTGAGTATCGTTACAAGCTCGTAGCATGCAAATTATAAAGAAAATCTAATGACTAGATTTTCTACAAAGAAACAAAACCGACTTTAATTACCTGCTTATATCTATTCATGTCGCCATGGCAACGGCACATACATCAGCTTAACTATCAAAAAAACAAAGTTTGTGTTGTTAACTTGCTTGCTGCCAGTTTCGGCGACCGAGAGATCAAGGGTTTTAGAGAAAAGGGTGAAAGAAACAAAGGTATCAAAAACTGTGTTCAGCCACCTTAATTTGTAAAATCACGTGCACCACGCGTGAATACAAAAATAAATATATCTTAGTAGACGTTTTGTTTTGTAGTAGCGTCGAGTATTTTTAAGAGTTGTGCCGTATTTTGGTGAACCCGTAGGACGAGTCAAAATACAAACAACGAGTAAAAATACTCAGCGATACTACACAACAAAACGTGTAATAAGAGATTTATTATCCAACACGCTAAATTGTTATTTCAGTGCGGGCGAATTTCGCGGATATTTCAGGAGTACAAATATCGTGTGATATTTGTACTCGTCTCGCGCGTTATTTGTAATCTACGAAGCTCAGTTGGATAATATTACAAAGAATTTGACCTTCTTCATATCAAAATCATATTACTTACCCCGCCTGCTCGTCGTAGCTCCATTGGCATATCATGTGGCGGCATAATTTCATGTCCACCTTCGATGGGATCGTCGACTCCCGCCCAAAACCATTTTCTCCATTCTTCCAGTTTCTCCTCTCTCCTCTCGGAGGAGGAAACAGCACGAAGCTCCAAAAAGGAATCATCGCTGTCTTGCTCAGAGCTGGTACTTGAAAGCTCATCATTCTCTTCAAGAATTGGGGTGGTGTTTCTGTTTTGCAATCTTAACTCCGTTATTGAAATGCCTCGCTTTTCAGCGATCACTTTTAAAATAATTTTCCTATGCTGTATGAACGTCGGTAGCCAGTAACTGCTCAAACGCTCCAAGGCCATCTTCTGCACGGGAAGAAAAACATTTTCGGAAAATATTGAGGAATCAGAAAGATGCATTTGTTTTGTGATGCTCTTTGGAATTTGAAAAGAGGAGTTTCGCTCTCCTTGGCGGCTAACCCCGCATAAACTCGTCCACTTCATGATCTCTGGGAGTTCCCAAGGAGATCCGCTTCGTAGATATTTAGCCTGAATCTTTCGGAAGCTGAACCTCCTATGTTCTTTCCTTGTCACCCTGCGATATCGCTCGACGTCTATCCAAAACATTAAGATTCTCTGCCCTGCTGTGCCGCGCAGAAACAAATGCAACTTGCGCATGTCGTCTACGGTGCGTAGAAAGGTCCTGGCTTCATTTCCGTTCACTGACGTACCTAAACATACCAGTGAAAAGAAATTAAGATCTCAGTTCCATGATCAAACTACAATCAGTTTGAGACGCAATCTTGGATAAATAAATTGTTGAACGTAAAAATGGCTGAGAACTGTCAGGATAAGGATGAGTGGTTTTGGAATCTATCCAAACGGTTGCAATAGACATTTATTCTGTGTAAAGCCTGCTTGATGGGTTTCAGTCAACAAAGACAATGAAAAAATGAGCCGAAGAGGGAGAATGGGAAAGAGTGATCTCCATTATTCCTTCCCAGACTCCCATATTTTTTAAATTCTACTCGAATTCCTGCCAACAGAATCCTCATTTCTTTATTCAGATTCATTTTCTTTTTTGAAAGTAGAAATTTTCGTGGAGAGCTACTTTTTCTTAACCCTATGACATATATTAAAGTTATTTGCTTTCACGGGTTTATTACGAATCAACTTAACGGCCTGCTCCCAGTTGGCTTGTTAGCTCAATTGGTAGAGCGCTGCACTAGTATCGCAGAGGTCAGTGGTTCGAGTCCCGTACAGGCCTGATTTTTTTCAGGTCTGATTTTCGCTATTGCTTAAATAGCGCTATCTACTGCGAGGATCGTGCATCATATGTATCTAATACCGCAGTACAAAATATATGAACTTCATATATTTCATTGTATCTCATTAAAGTTATTGTCGGTCACGATAGTTACTCACTTGTATGATCAGTAGCATCGTGAAGCTTAACACATAACAAGTACGCAAGGGATAGATCTGTTTTCCAAAAAAATGGCATTCTTTCCTTATGCACCCATTTTTTGATTCGATACACTGGTAAATGCTATGAGAAAAGAGGTAATATCGCATCAGTAATTTTAATTAAAAAAATAAATGAAAAAGTAGGAAATAGAGAGATAGAGAGTGAGAATCAGACCATCAACTGGAATATGTCGAATTCAGAAGTATGTTTCCTTAGACGTCCGCGTTGTAAGCTCTCGTAATTTCTTCGGAAGAATTAATCTCGCTAATATTTTCTTTTTTCTGATTGGCTGCTGCAGTTAACTTAGGTCATAATTTTTCGACACTCGATCGACAAGTGTTCTATACAAACACAGAAAAAAATTAACGATTCCATCATTCCTGGATACAAAATTTTAAAAACATTCCGGACCTGAATTAATCTGATGTGACTGATTCTCATGTTATATGTATTATCTGTATCAATAAATCGCTTATATTGTTTTCTGGAATTAGGGGATGCTCGTAGATCTCTTCCTATCTGGAAGAGTTTAAAAGTTAAGAAGGAATTATGAACGCAAAAAAAAGAATGTTTCCGGCAGGACTTGAACCTGCGACCTTCCGCGTGTAAAGCGGACGTGATTACCACTACACTACGGAAACCACATGTTAAAAGAAGTAGAAAATGAGAAAACCTAATAAATTTAAAAACTTTTAGTCTGAGTGTTCTCTGGCACTTTCTCAGCGGGTTATCACACTCAATATCCTGTGCCTTTTTCCAAAATGATGTCGAGGTCCATACCGCAAGTTACGGACCAATACAGACGCCGCTCTTTTCGCAAGTTGAATTTCAGACGGAGCTCAAAGGAAGTTTTGAAATTTAAAATGTTCAGAAAATCTGTAAAGTAAGTCTAAAAATCGGACCAGTTTAAAGGGTTACTTACATAACGTGTTCTTGGAGGGGGAGGGAAAATACTGAAATAGTCTTCTGCTCGATTGTAGGATAACCATTTTCCAAACACCTGTTAGGTAACGAATGCATCAAAGTTTAGGTAGCAGTAGTGATTATTATGGAGAGACTTAGCACCGCGTTTACGTGAAACGGCAAACGTCAGCTTGCCCTTTCACTCTTCACGTAATAGTGTGAACCTTTCTGCTTTAGCTTCGGGAGAACTCGCGTGATGGCGGATTTAAAGGCGCCCTTGTATGACTTACAATGAATAGTTTGGTGCACTTTTTCCGGGAATTAACTTCTAGCCTGTGAGAGAAAAAATAAAGAAAATCTTACGTACACGGCAAACGTGAAACAGGTTACTTTCACGTAGAAAGCGCAAATCGCAACCAGCAAACTTGAAAAAATGGCGTGAAAAACGTAGTCACGTGCTCATTCTTGCCGTTCACGTTTCACGTAAACGTGGTGCTAAATCTCTTCTATATCTCTCAGTTAGTACGTGCGCCATAATTAGTCGATTTAGTTGGGCTGTATTTCACTCTTCGTCTCGCTGAATTTAAAAGTTTGTTTGAATTGAGATTTCCCCACTCCATCTAAACCCGAGGATTTGTGACCCCCACGAGAAAACTCAGACCGTAACTTACAGTACGGAACTCGAACTCGGTTACTAAGAAGTATATCTTGTCAGTGCTCGCACATACTGTCTGGACGTTGTCTTGAAAATCCTGAGCCCAGTTGCTCAAAGTGCAAAACTTTCCAATGGATAAATCGATGTCCATCGGATAATTTTTTAACAGAGCGTGCTGCGCTCAGTGGACAGCGTTACCAACCCTTCGACCAACCGTGGCCTGGACAGCAGAAAAAAAGGCAGCTAAAATTTCTCTTAACTGTAAATTTTGCACCAATAATAAGCGACAAAAGTAGTGAGGTAACTGAATGCGAAGACGGTAATTATCTAAAATTCATTTTAGTAACGTTTCCTAGTGTCACGAAAAAAAGTTTTGTTAACTGTACCGGTAGTGAAAGAAATGTGTTTAAGTAGTCTACAAATGTAGGGTTACTCAACAGCTTCTCAAAAAGATCTTCACTTGGAATCCCTGATCAAGTAGAAAATTATGTGAGGAACAAGTGTAGTTATAAATTCAAAGTATTCAAAACAATTCAAAACTATTCAAGAACGACAGACACATTCAAGTCGATTGTGAATTCTCACCACTAAGTGAATCTACGTCAATCGAATCCGGAATTTCTTCCATAACTGTCAGAGCTTCATCGCTCTTTCCTAGTTTTGTAATCTATATTGTTGTCGTTTGTTGTTTCTATGGAACAGTGTTACGCGCAAAGCTATGCGATAATGGGCGTAAGGAAAGACGTCATGCGCGCGCGGAGAATTGATTTAAAAGAGATAGTTTTAAAAGCGAGCCGGGAAAACTGTCATAGGTTGAGTTTAGGTAATCGAAATATCCTTTTGACTGTTCTCTCGATAAGATTTAATCGGAAATCTCAGTTCTTCCAGCTCGCCTGCGAACGAACGTGGGTCGTTCGCGAGGTCGAGTACTTGGAATGGATTTTGGTCTGTCTTTCATTTTACAAAATCACGTCAAAAGAATGCGCGAAACATAACTCTCGCAGCAGAGGGAATACAGACGGAAACGCCTGAGAACCTGGAGGGTTTAAACTCGAAAACGTGTTCGGCATGCGAATCACTTGTCATTCACTGCTTCTTGTCTTGTTCATGATGTTTGCATATGCACTGTATGATGATCAACAGTTAGCCAACCTTTTCTTTGTTTTGTGGATTGATTGACATAAGACACCTTTAGATTCTAAGACGAAGACAAGTACGAATGTGAACGCGGGAATTTACGATAAGGAAGAAGAGCCTACGTTATTTTGGCGGGAAAACGCAATAGCTTGAACATCTTTGGACATACAGCGCTCATAATTTAATAACCTAAAATTCAACAAACCATCTTGACGAAGTTTATTTATTATAGAAAGCGGCACTTGAAAACCAAAGTGAGCAAAAAAAATTGCAAAAACGACAAGCTTCAACAACATAAATGATTCATTTCTAACAAGCTGTGGGTCAAAACTTCTGTTTATTGTTCTTTCTCATTTCGGCTTTATTCATCTTTCTTTGACAACAGCTTTTTCTTGTAATGTCGAACAAGCTGATTTAAAATCAAAATGTTAACAACGAAGAACACAACGCTACCAGCCCATACGTAAACAAATGTATTCATTCCTTGATATTCCAAGTAGTAGGCAGGAACGAGCCACATTACCTAACATAAAAAAATGACAGCAGGATAAAAGATCAAAATGATAAAAGAAGAGCATTTTAAGTCGACGGGATTGAAACCCGTATGTAAAATAAGGTAAATAAGGGGAATAGATGGATTGTAAATGCCGGTGGGAGACTGGTGTAGAAGCCAGTGGTACTAGAAGGAAGGAATACAGGACCAGCAAAAAGTGTCAGGGTATTTAGCTATATATTAGCTAATTAAAAGGTAAAGTCTGTTTACGAGCCTAGTGGCCCATTAGGCCGGTGCTTAACTCCGGTTTCTGTAGCATGAAGTGACTAGGAGTATTTCTACTCCCCCCTGGATGGGATGCCAGTCCATTGCAGGGTTACCCCCCCCAGCATTAAATTGCGGGTACCCATTTATACACCTGGGTGAAGAGAGGCACTGTGAGAGTAAAGTGTCTTGCCTAAGAACACAACACAATGTACCGGCTGGGGCTCGAACCCAGACCACTCGATCCAGAGTCGAGCACACTAACCATGAGGCCACTGCGCGTCCACATATATTAGCTAATTGTGGACACTAAAAGAACATTCCAAATGCAAAATAAAAATGATTAAAACAAGGACACTACAAGTGTAAAACATTTATTTTAAATTTACATTCATTTTAAAGAGCCTAACATTTCCATTGTTTAATAATAATAATAATAATAATAATAACACCTTTATTTAGACGTGATAATGTTTAAAGCTGAACAGCTTGTGGGGTCGTGTGTAAATCCAAATAACTCTAAATTAAATAAATTCAAATGATGATGGTTTTTGAGGAGAGGGGAAAACCGGAGTACCCGGAGAAAAACTTCTCGGAGCAGAGTAGAGAACCAACAAACTCAATCCATTTATGACACCGGCTCCGGGAATTGAACCCAGGACACATTGGTGGAAGGCGAGCGCTCTCACCACTATCCCAACCCTGCTCTCCCTTCTTCTAATCTCACCTGTCCCGCAAACCAAGCCAGAGTTAGACAAACTGTTCTCTGAGGTGAGATGTTTACCGAATCCAGGATTAGGGGCAGAAGACATAAATACCACAGAAAATACTACACAAAAGAGAAAAGCAAAAAAGCTCCTGTCAGTTGAAGAGGAAAAGGAAATCTTTCTCATCCATCATTAGGCATTGATTCAGGTTTAAGGCCTATTATGCAGTGTGATCCTGCAATAAGAAATTAGATGTTTGAAATAATGGCATTTAAATACAATCAACCTGAGGTTTTTCTGTTGTGCAATTTACCTGTAAGCTGTAAAATAAAGTTAAAACTTCCCATTCTTTGTCATGTTATACAAAATAAAAATTTCTATTTGAATGGTTAGGTCACTCTTGAATCGAAATTTTTCATGGTTGAGAGAAAAAGATTACTTCTGGAGCATACACAAAAATGGCCATTCCACAGGAGATTCTTCGTATCAATTTCACTTACCTGTGACGTACACACTTTATTAAAGGTAACAAATGCAAACGTCTGCACAAAGCAACAAAATGGAATGTCACAGTAGTATGTAGCACCAAATGCAACTATAAGAACAAACTGAGGAATGAATGAGGCCAGACCAAGAACTGATTGCCATTGGGAGCCTTCCACTAGGTACATCATGTAAAAATACACTGAAAAGTTGTGCTTCACATCTCGTCTTGTTACATGGTAAAGGTAAGTGTGTTCAAGGAATTCAAAACCATATCTGTCAAACAGAAAAAACTGTATTAAAACTCTGTCAGCATTTTGTGTAGAATACCATTCCTTCAAGGTTCACTTTCCAATATATGAAAAGGGTATCAATCAAATATCAGAATGTCTCCTGTTTCTTAAATGTGATTTTTTTTCACCATGTGCAGCAAATATTCAGTTAACTCTTTTACTACCAAGAGTGAGTAGCATCAAGTTTCTTCTAAACCAGTTATTAAAGTCATGATAGTACAGGGATATTATCACCCACTAAAAAAGCTCTTTATTGTTTAACAAATTCTCCTTGGTAGCACGTAGGAAATTTATAGAGAACAGTACGGAGAATATCTTTATGCCGATGTTCTGGTGTAAAGTGTTAGACATCTTTCCTGTGTGAGGATTACACTGTTGTCATGGAAACCAAGCATGTAGACTTGGTGTTTTGCTTCATATCAACAGGATTTTTTGTAATCAGGGATTTAGGACTAGAGGTTTTCCAGCAGCCATAGGTGTGCTGAGGCAGATCCAGGGCTGGTTCGGTAGAACCCCCTAAATTTTCCCTCAAAATGCTGGAAATCATTTTTCCTAAGACCTAAATTTCAAAATCTCCTGGGGACCATGCCCTCAGACAATTCTCCAAACCCCCCTTGACTAAATCTTGGATCCACCCCAGGTGTGGAGGGATCCCTATTTTCAAGACTGCCTCAAAACTCAGCAAACCTTACAGTTAACCCTTTCACTCCCAAGATTTCATTAGTGATTCTCCTAAATGTCTGCCATACAACTCTCACAATTTTAGTTTGGAGAATTTGGTATTGAATCACCTATTAATCATTCAATTGATATTTTTCTTTATTCTCATCACTTGTCTGCTTGAAATTGTTTTGACATAATCAGGAGAAATTCTTTCTTGATCACACCGGGGAGTTATAGGGTTAAAAATGAACTAGCAATGCTTTCTGCAGGTGATCCAAATTATGTACCTTTGATATAACAATCCAGTTAATCCTAAAAAGATTGCTGCAGCAATCAGGGCAAACTTAACCCTTTGAGGGTGAAACACAAATGCCATAGCTTGGGTAAAGAAACCTGACGACTTTCTCACATTGTCACTTGTTCGTTTACTTGGTTTCTTGCTGTTACAAGTATCACCTCCCATAATTAGAACAAATGGCAAACCATATATAATAGGGTAGATTTTAAAGTGTACAGAAAGGGCAAAGAAAACGGCCGCCATCGAAATGTTTTTAACGAGGACGAAATAAATGCTTGCAAGGACTAAGAACGCCATGATCGATTCTGCATTTCCGCGGGTCGAAACTGTGAAGGATAGTGGATTAAAAAGCCACAGCCACGAGGCGAAGACAGCTCTTTTCTCGCAACAACCGCGTAAATGAAAGATCTTGTACAAAAGATATCCAACAAGAACATCAAAAAGTGTAAAGAGAACCTTCCCAAAGCACATGTGAAGAGTGATGTTTGGAGTTAAGAAGATGGCTAACAGAGGAGTATAGCGATATGTGAGTCTCAAGTAAGGTGAGTTGCCTTCGACGACATGGCGAGCAGCGTCGGTGAAAACGTGGTAATCTATATCTGTGTACTTTACAACCATGTTCGTATCTTGCCATTCTCCATAAACAATCAGACAAATTCTCAATAGGAAAGCGATCATGCAGGTTGACCAAATGGACACGTAATCCTTCTTTGCGTCCGCCATATTTGTGCTTGGCGGCCAGGCCTTCATCCAGCGAGGTAGCTTGCTTGAAAACAAAAATGGCGGGCTTTGGGATTCATTTTGTCGCCGCTTTTCAGGCGGATCTAGAGGCTATATGCACCAAGGTATTCGTCATATCTAATACATAGTACCTCAAATAATCTTTAAGTCCATGTGTAACTTTTCAAGCGCGTTACAGCTTTCTTTTGCAGCCATAAGCCAAACATAGCATCGTAATTCACAGTTCGACCATTTTATTTTTTTAAATACGTAGGGTTACTCAGTTCTAAATAGTTAATAAAACAGCCTTCATTTTGCTAAAAAAAATATGCTTATAATTTTTCTGTAGAGATTAACAGTTCGTTTGAAGGCTATTGTTTATTTAGAAACTGAAGAAATTGGTCTATTAGTAACATCCATATTTCAACAGATAGGTCCCATGCTGCTGTGTGCCATTTTCAGCAATGGATCACAAATGTCGTTAAAGTGTAGTAAAAACAAAGAGGTAGCACACGGGTCTCCGCATAATTTTTCACTGATGTTTTTATCACATGTTGACATCCACTGTGATCTTTTACTCTATAGACCCCCCAGCAACATGGAATCTGTCAGTTTTATACAGTATGAAAACAAGCAAAATGTTTTTAGTGGTGATGTCATCTATGCTTTTGTCCTACAGTAAATCATAAGCAAGAACCAATAAGATTGTGTGTGTGATTCAGCTTATTATATAAATGAAAAATATGTTTTTCAGTATGCAAAGGTAATTGATGAGCAAGTGGATGAGTTTTACTTGGGTGAATTATTTGAAGGTAACTATCAGCATTTGCTATTTCCTTTGTTTAATATTAGTTATATTAGTAATTTTATTTAGGTCTTAGCATTTTTGTAATTGGTAGTCTAGTCTTATATAATCAATGATTGTGAAAGGCACACAATTCAGCCTATGGCTGCAATGTATTTTATTTGGTAATAAACTATCTATCTATCTATCTATCTATCTATCTATCTATCTATCTTTAACTTTGGAGATCTGAAAGCAAATTTTCCCATCTAATGATCATGAATTTCTCTAAAGGCCAAAGAAGTTCTCATTTACCTGTCTCTGCAACTGTGTTGTAAAATTTCATTGCGTACCATCCACTGGTTAAGAAAAAGTCAACATAGATTTGAGCTGCTTCCTTTTCAAAAACTGATGTGTGTGGGTTATGAACAGTCCACTATTTGAAACTCTTAGCAAAGTATTTTCTTTAAAAGCTTTTGAATAGATAACTTTCGTTTAAGTCATTTTCACATTCCAGAATAATATTTGCTTTTAAACTTTCTTGGTGTGTAACTCTCAATACTCTTGCTGGTACATTTTTTTCTTTAATGTTTCAACCACTTGCCACATAAGCATGTAGTCCAGTGCTCAACATGCTAATCAAAAGAGCACTATGCCTTCCAGTGAGTGGTCAAATAATATGTATGGTTGTCCTGGCATGTACTAAAACCAGGAACATCAGAACACTGGAACACCAGAACACCCCGGAACACCGGAACACCGGAACACCCCCGGAACACCGAATTTGACGGTGTAAAAAAATAAAATGTAGATGTAATTTGTTTACCCACATAACACGAAAGAGCTTAGAAGCTAGAAGCAGGCGTTAAATATATAGTTTCTTAATGTTTCTTATCTTATTTCTTTGTGACCTTATAAATAAATGTTCCAGGGTGTTCCAGTGTTCCTGGTTTTAGTACATGCCAGTTGTCTCTGATATATAAGAGGGGGGGCTGGGGGGAGGGCACGCCTTCTTATTTGACCTCAACAAGTGGGAATGTATTGTCAATTAAGGTATTGTCCTAAAGCAGTTGGGTGTTAAAAAGGAAAAATATTTCACCTATCAGCTTCTTGATCAGGGCATTTTTCTGAACCACACATCTCAGGTTGTTAGTGCTGGCAATGTGTGCTCTAAATGTATGATACTAACTTTTTATTTTTTTTTAATCTAATGACAAAAATCGTGTCTGAAAATGTTAAAAGTGGCTGTATGAGGTCGTTAAGCCACAATCTGTAGCTCTTTTTGTTTTAAATGGGGTACTGAGCAAAAAATGGAAGCACAGCTTTAATATCGATTTCATTATCTTTCAAAAGGTGAGAGTAGTGAGAGTGGATCCGAAGATGAAGGTGAACAGGATTCCGATGCAAGTGGGCCCACCTTAGGTTACCCAAAAGGTGGACCAGGTGGGTGCATGCTGTCTAGCGCGGGTGGTGATCTTTTTACTGATTCAGCCTCCACTGTAACTGACCATTTTTCAGCAAATGAATGTAAGGGCTACATCGCAGATGATGAAGGAACGGATACTGGTAAGGATGTCTCCGAATTGGGAAATCAGGGGAGATCAGAGTATTTACAAGAAGAGAGCTTTGATGAAATGCAGTTGGAAGATTTTAATACTAACAAGCGCATCTGTGATGCAACATTTATTATGAATAGCTTTAAAGCGAACCCCTCTTCAACAAGTCGAAAGTTGTTTCAAGTTTACAAGAAACCAGTTTCTATTGCACAGCCGCTGTCTTCAGCAGGTGCCAAACTGCCAAGTGACACCTCGTTTTCGGAGGAAGATGAATTGGACAGTGATAACTCAAACGGCGACTGCAATCTTGCACAGGCTGCTTTGCTTTCTCGAGACAGGATTGCACTTGCTTTGTCCATGGTCTCTGAGGAAGAGCCAGAAAACTTTTCACAGGGGACTTCTTCAAAGAATGCATTATCCCAAGGAACTTCTTTACGGGGTGGCTCAATGGAACGTGCCTCCTCTCAAGGCCCCCTGTCACGAGCTATCCCGTTGAAAGGGACTTCATCACGGAGTATGTCTTTAAAAAGTACCTTTTCGAAAAAGTTTTCTATAACACCCATATTCCAAGCTGGTAGAAAGTCCAAGGTGATATTCCAAAATAGCAAACACTCGGAACCAACTTTTGATAATGCTGTTGCATCCTGTTCAACAATGCTAGGTGGTGAAGAATCATGTTATCAGGCATCTGAAGTAAACTTTGACGAGAAGACCAACGATGATGCTGCCATGAGCTGCAAACTTAATGGGGTGCTGGAACATAAGAGAAGTATGATTCTTGCTTCGAGTGAATGTTATCAATTGTGCTCTAGCGTGGAAAAGTCACGCTCCATTCCCAGACGTCGATCTCTTAAAATCATACCGCCTTGCACCGACCAAAAATTAAAGAGTTCGGTTAAACTTGAAGGCGTTTACTTTAAGGACTCGTTTCATGGTTCTTCCTCCCCGAATTCTCGTTCGAAATCATCTCAGATATTACGAGTTTCTGATAAAGATACAGTCGCAGTCAGCCCGTGCTCATTATTAGAAGAAAGCAGAACTAGTCAGGAACATCAAAAACGGTCACATCTCGTTGTGACTAGCTCCGAAAGGGGGGGTTATACGTTGGGAGATAATGCCAAAATGACCGGCAAACCAAGCTGTGTTGAATTATGCGACCAAGGGAAATTAATTGAGGTTGTGGGCTTGATACCTTCCCCCTCCAACAAACAACACATGTGTGGTGATCGAACTGTGTCACCACATTGTAAAGAGGACGTCAAGTGTAGATACAGGACAGCGGGGAGTTTGAACGATTTGGTTTCTAGTCCAAGAAAGACATCAAAAAGGTTGCCTGTGTCAGCTAGTGGTCTATGTTCTAACAATTCCACTTCTGGGTCACAAGTGGGTAAACGGATAGCGAAGAAAAGCATTCAAATGAATGAACAGGACAGTGTACCTTCAAAACAAGCCAAAAGGGGCTCATCTATGTCCACGAAGGAGCGAAAAAGGGATAGTTTACAATTGAAAAGATCTTCAGGGCCTGTAAGATTGCAAGAAACATGGAAGGCTATTATTATGGACTGGGATGGGTATAGAACAGAACTGTTATCGCCCATCAGACGAAATGTTCCCGCCTCTTGTCAATCTACACCAGAGGCCGTCTTGTCTCCTTGTAAAGGGAAAGGGGCTTGTGATAAAGCGTTCTGCTTTCACTGCTGGTGACTATGTTCCATTAACCACTTTTGATACGTCTTCTTGGCGGAAATTAAGCTGTTTTGGCTGGTTTGTTCACGGTAGCCCGCATCATACTTTGCACATTGTAAAGCAAGTTGGCCAAGCTCATGTGCTGGCCTCTCAAGAAACTGTAGTGAACGAAGACATTTGTGGAAGTAGACGACTTTTGAAGGTCACCGAAAACAAATGTAAAGACATGTTAGGCCTTTGTATTTAGATTTTGTACCTTGTGAAGTTTTAATCTATACCCCCAACAATTTTAAAGCGTTTTGTAAAATTTTAACCGCAAGCTCTGTTTTAAACGATTTATGGATTGATAGAATTTTAATAAAATATTTTCCACGAGACAGACTCTTAATAACTTAAATCTTAAATAACCTAAACCTACATTTCAACATTTCAGCTTACGTTTACCTGGCTCAGATTTTAAATAGCCATGCGAAACTGGCCCTCGAACTGAACTTCACCTGTGAGGTAAATAGTTTCACGAGAGAGTCTCACAATAACCTAAACCTACATTTTAACATTTATCAAAGGTTTACACGGCTCGGATTTTAAATAGCCATGCGAAACTGGTCCCGATGAACTGACTGCACGTGTGGGGTAAGTAGGACATATGTCCACTCCATATCTCATTGCTTCTCTCCCCAGTCCCCTTCTCACTTCTTTTAACGTCCGCTCGAGACGCTTAAGTCAGTTCTGAAATAAACGTCACTCACCAAGTATTTCGAAAGATAAGTGGAAACATAGACAATGGAAGGAATTTGTCAGCATCGTTTTATTGGACATACGTGTTTGTCACTGTTACAGATAGCTTTAACTAACTGAAAGTGATTGCTATTTTAACAATTAACTGTACTTGCAGCAAACTAGCATCGTTTACGCTCAAATTTTAGAGAAAAGCTGAAAGCCACAGGGTGGTAGGTAGAGAGGTGACCTTTAACCAGAAAGTAATTTTTGTCCTCACAGGGAAAGAAAAGAAGGACAAAGATTATTATAAATTGTGTATTGATTGTTCTGCTCAGTAAACCTGCCATTGCGTTGCTTTTGCAACAGTATTTTAACCATCAGCTGCGACTATCCTGCAAATTCTCCCTACAATCTTTTTAGCCTTTACTGCTGCCGTTATCTTACCGTTTTTAGCCCATTCTCCGTAGATATAAGACAAGCAAATCAACAGAGAGTTAAACACCGAAGCCCAAGGTGAACGTAAGACGCCGTGCGCATGGTTGAGAGGGACTGAGAGATCACGTGACCATTTGATGGCAGCCTTTAAGCAAGGTGTCGTACACTGCTGTCGTTACGAGTCAACGTGGCAGGCTTTTTTGAAAAAAAAAAAAAAGAGAGAGTGAGAGAGAGAGTACACAAATAGAAAAATATGAGTCTTTGGAGTTTTCCTTTTTAACTGGCGAGAGACGCTGGAGTGATTAATCTCTGGTTCACTCTTGAAAGTGATTTAAATGAAATTTCCTTTATCATCATTACACCCTTAACTAAACAGGTAATGAGATTTTAACTTTACAAAGAAATGCGTATGAGAGCGAGAAGGATCACAGATCCGTTCCTAGTCGCAAAGGGTTAACAGGAGTTTGAACTGATTTTCCGTCACCAACTCCACCTACACCACCCGGTGCAATCACAGTCATCAGTAGTCATCATCATCATCATCATCATCATCATCATCATCATCATCATCATTTCGGACACCACAAGGATTTTCTTCGGGGTAGTCATCCAACAGTTCTTCGTGGACACAACACATGTCTGTCGCCATCGCGGCACTCTCTGTGTATTTTGTCATTAGATCGTGACTGAAAGTTTGGATGAGGTAGTTGAATTTAACGGTGATGTCCGGAACCGAGTGAGCACAGATTTGCGGAGGGTGTTGCACCTGCTTTGAATAACAGCTCAGAAAGTTATTTACACCGTCACAAAGGTTCTCCGCCTCATCTGCACAAGCTTTCACGTCTCGTTCTGGATCTTCTTCTGTGTCGTGAACTAAGTTCGGATAACATTTGCTATGTATTATTTTAGCACATTCTGTCTCTTTACCTTGCGCAGGCACTGAAATGACCAGAAAATACATTAAAATTAAGTCTACAAAAGAGAGAAATTTTCAGTCCAAAGAATCGACTAACGTGATCTTGTTCTTATTACTCTACAATTCAGATCATTCGATGGTTCTTTTGGAAAGTTCCAATTTAATAAATCGACTTCAATTGTCCATTATTCGTAACCTTATTGATCTTAGAAGTGACGTCAACAATGACCAATAGTACATTGAAACCACGAGGCACAGAATGTCGGTTTTGGCTATTGACATAAATTTCAACAGAAATAACTTGACAAATGAAAGAGAGGTTCTGACTGAAAAGAAGCAAATTAAAGTTCATGTCACCTTCCATTCTGCATACGCCTCTGCCTTTGTATTGTGCTCTGCTTTCTAAACAAAAGGGAAATTTAAATTTGGTCAACAAGTGATCTAATGGCCTACGGTCACTACGCTGTGTTATCAGGCTTGACACTTTCTTCTTACAACAGTGCCAGTTAACTGCTTAAAATGTTTAACAAAACGCTAGGGGGTGGGGTGGGGGCAGGGACGCAAACGATGCACCGACATCTCTCACAGGAGGAGAAGAACTTCTGAATCTGACCTAACAAGGGTATTATCAGGGGAATAGCTACCCAGGAATCGGCGTTGGTGGACTGGGCGCGACTTCATGTAACCTGGCCACCGTAAAGCCGTTTTCTTTAGTTTACATTAACAACTCAGTTGATAAAACCCAATTATCTTGATATACATATCTAAAGTAGTCAAGTAGGACATTTGTAGGTATCCATTGCATCGTTAGTTTCCCGTGATATCATGCAGTCCAATCCTAGGTACTGTAATTTTCACCTCTTTCAAATGGTCACCCTTTAATGAGTCCCAAGGGCCTTTTTGTATTGTTTTCCACCTGTACTGAACGGTCACTTGACGTGACCACTCAAATAAAACCAAGAGTTATCTTTCAAATAAAAGTTAATCCATGTTTATCTCCCAAAATCAATGTTACTAGTATTTTTGAGCGAGTTTTTGTAATTCAAGTGGTTAATCATGGAAAAACATGGCATTCATTATGGTTTTTTTTTTTTATAATACTCGTACTCTGTGTACTCATGTAACCTGGCCACCGTAAAGCTGTTATCTCTACCTGTACTGAACGGTCACTTGACGTGACCACTCAAATAAAACTAAGAGTTATCTTTCAAATAAAAGTTAATCCATGTTTATCTCCCAAAATCAATGTTACTAGTATTTTTGAGCGAGTTTTTGTAATTCAAGTGGTTAATCATGGAAAAACATGGCATTCATTATGGTTTTTTTTTTTATAATACTCGTACTCTGTGTACTCATGTAACCTGGCCACCGTAAAGCTGTTTTCTCGAACTGTACTGAACGGTCACTTGACGTGACCACTCAAATAAAACAAAGCGTTATGTTTCAAATAAAAGTTAATCCATGTTTATCTCCCAAAATCAATGTTACTAGTATTTTTGAGCGAGTTTTTGTAATTTAAGTCAATCATGGAAAACATGATTGACTTAAATTAAATTTAAGTCAATCATGGGAAAAACATGGCATTTATTATGTTTTTTTTATAATACTCGTACTCTGTGGAAGCTGTATCAAGCGGTCAACTTGTACTAAGCGGTCACCCCGTTATTCCCTGTTTAATTTGGGTTCGATTGTAATTCAGTTACCATAGCGATCTGTCAGTTCCTTCATCTTAGCCATTTGTTTATCGGTATAGTCGGTACATATGCCCAGATGTTCGCCGATACACACGTATTGAAGAACAACAAACGTCCACTCATCCAACACTTCGCTGCGACAGGTGGTGTGCTTCTTGTTGAATTCTATGTTCTCGGAGAACGCACACTTCAGCAATATCTGCCGGAGGTAAAACAATCATCGTCATATGGCTAACTTGGATCTTAAAGGGTTGCTATGGAAAAGGCTCCACGGGAAATTTCCTTTGGTAAGAATTAACGTTTCTGTAAGATAATGGTATAGCGACTGCGAAGGGTTCAGTGTCGGGGTGGAGCCTCTATCGAGTGCAGCTGCTCTGGGTAGTAAGATCTACCGATTAAGAGCATGTGCAGCAGGGGAGATAGTGAGTCAATTGTGTGTTGCATCCAATCATCATATCCTCGTCCACAGTTAAGTGCGTTTTCGTCTATCAACCACACCAAATCGTCTGAAAACGCTTATGGCAGCGATATTACGTGAAGCATTTTCAAAATATTCTGTTTTCACTTGTCCACAGAAGAAACGTGGCCTCTTAAAAAACCGACGACTTTTCAAGACACTCTGCTTTTGGGACAGTTATCGAAGGGCTCTATGTTCATAAGCGTTTACAGCCGTTTAAGTGTGGATGATGGACAAAGACACTTCAAAAAGTTTGCCTTTTCGAACGAGAACGCGTTAGTTTGCATGAGGCCTTTGAAAACCTAAAGAACCGCCCGAAATTTTTATCGGGTTAGTACCAATCGCGTGGAGAATATCTTATCATGAAAGATAACTGCACGCAGATACGGCTCTGTTGTTCCCAGTTTTCTGAGTTTCACGTTGGCGAAATATAAGGAGAATAAAAACTGTAAACTTCCAGTTGGCCACAGATTGGTGGGGAGTTTTTGTGACATGAGACTCGTCCGGAAAATAGAGAATGGATCCCAAGGGTGAAAAAAAAATTGGAAGATAAATAGCGAGAGACTGGCGATAAGGAAAGCTTTGGTTTCAAGATGGCTGCCCAACAGACAACGGCCCAGTAAATTGACTGATCAAAGCGAACGTGGTTACTCAGAGATAAGATGATACTGTATAGGATTAATCTTACCAACATTCCTTTACAATACAGTTGTTGTGGATGACGATCCTGGTAGCGAAGGAAACAGAATTTGATCTGGCTGTTGCATTTTTTCATGGCTACTTGTGCATCCTGTTTAGCTTCATGCGATGAACAGTACGTAACAGCAGTTACAGTTTGGGTGAGGAACACGATGGATAAAGTAACAGTAAGAAGGACAACCGGTGACAAATAAGTCATGTTTTCCTGGAAAGCAAAAATGGAGGAACATACTCTAATGTTATAAATATGCTGCTTTTTGAAAAACTCAGTGAACCTCGTCGCGCATAAGATGATGAATGTCACACGGTTGGCCTCAAGAGAGAGGAGGTATTATCTTTATGGTAATGATCCACGTGTTATGCAAAAATTTTCTGGGCATGTAAAATTAGTAAAATGCCTAAGGCTCACGTAAAAACTTCACTTTTGGTGTCTTTTTCAGTCCTTCCATGTTACTTTCCGTCTCGGCGGCCCCTGAGTCACTGATGATCACCTTTTTTTAAGCTATGTTTAACGTTGCGTGGAACTCTTTGAGAGAGGCGAGTGTCATAGATCCTTTTTATTAATTTTTCCCCTAAAATTTTTTTCGGTGAGCAGTTTTAGTGACCTTAGACTTTCCCAGAAAATTGCGAATGGATCATCAACCTGTCTGAGTCATTTAAGATCTACAGCTCTAAATGCCTTAAGGATCTGCATTTTGACAGCTGAGGTAGTTTTTTATTTCATACTGCTTTCTTATTGGCAGTACAACACAAAGTCAAAAATTACAAAACCGGCTTCTAAAGAGCTTCAGAAGCGACCTAAGTATCACCAAATTGACAGCTTCCTGTCATTCGCTCTGACGAAGGGTTAACTTTCGAAACGTCAGCTTTAGAAATTCTTTACGGTGGCTAATTTACATTATTATACATTGTAGTCACCAAAATGATCTGTCTTCTCATTGGCTAAACGCCTACAGTTAATTCTGGGAAGCAGCGCAACCTACAGATTATTCACTAGTCTGTACCTACAGATCAGTGAATAATCTGTAGGTTGCGCGCGCAATGCATTATTTCCGGTGTAGCACTAATGTCAAGTTCACGGACAGCGAAATAAGAATGGCTTCTCGATTCGCTTCATCGACCCAGCGAGAAATTGAGAAATTACTTGAATATAAAGATTCGGAAAGTACTAAAAGAATGTATAATAAAACAATTATTAGATGAGGTTTTTGTGATATCCGGAATAATCAAGGTCTCGGTTGGTGTTATCAGCGTCAGCATTCGGCTTCGGCTGATAACACTTACCTCGACCTTGATTATTCCGGATATCACAAAAACCTCATCCAATAATTGTTTATTATCAACTCAGTTGAAAAACCAAATTATCTTAGAAACGAAACAAGCAAGCACAAACAAAGGGTCGAATGGTTCTCCTCACAAACTGGAGTTATCATACGACATGATTTGTTCATTTTCAACCATTCCCTTAAAAGTTCAAATTCAAACACTATCCATAGAGACTGGGAGACCTGTGGTCCAATCAGCAATAACCACTCTGAAAACGTAAGTGCCGGTCGCTAGTCAGTGTTCGAGTGCGCTTCTTATTACTCAGAAACAATCCATCTGTTAAGCCTGGGGCTTCGTTTATAATAAGTTGGTTTTTTTTTTGCCAGACTTACAACTCCTGGTATTCTCAGTTACGGTAATTTTCATCAGTTGGTGGACTCTGTTACATTTTCCTATTTTTGTGAGGAAAAATTGATTTATACAGAAAATTTATTCAAAAAGACTTGTACTGACACTGCCATCCGCCAGATAAACGGAAATAGCTTTTTTAAAAGAAAATTCACTTAAGGCCCTACACTGTGAAAAAATCGAGAAAAAAAAAAAAGAATTAACAAAAAAACACAAAAGGAGAAACGAACGAAAAGGCTTGCCTTTCTCACCAATTCCATCAAACCGATTTTAATCGTTAAAATGGCCATTTGATGTAAACCTCTGTGACAGAGTGAACTTTCGCGATGGCTGCCCACTCAAGGAACTTAACTGTAGGAAACTACAGGTCTACCAGAATTAAATCAAATTAAAATGTAAATGTTTTTATTGTAAAAACGATCAGTCATCATTTTGACAAAAAGATTTATCAAGAAAGACCTTTAGCATTTGTCATTGTGTTATGTAAGGTTGATAAAAGGGCCAAAATTATAAACATTCCACGCAGTATTTCACAAGTTTTCATTTCGCATTTAAATGTTAATTTCAAGCTGTACTTGTTACCTTTTCCTAGCAATTGGTGTTTTTTCTTTTCTATTCTATTCTTTTTAAACAACGGGAAGTTAAAATCCACTTACTAATAAGCATGTTAATTGTCAAATTATGGCGTACGCCGTCCTCTATCAGCATATGTACCATCATAATGTTGTGTGTTATACGGATGTTTCGTCGCCTACATGACTCAACGGTTTGTGGAAAATTCGAAATTGTGCTTATACAAGGAGAATATCCTTGTTTTATCAACTACCAAAAGTCAGTCTCTCTCTTAAACTACTAAGTGAGAGACTATCCACCTCCTAGATGTATTTTGAAATTTCCAGTTGTGAGGTTTACGCAGTCCTCTCTCAAAAAAGATGACTTTTTGTATGGTTCGCTTTTCAAGCAAAGCTAGGACGGAAGTAAAGACTGGGCTGAGCCGATTTGTTTTTGGAACACAGCTCTGAAGATGTGAATAGAACTAAGAGCTAGCATGACTTAAATAAAAAGAAAAACTATCACAAATCGCAAGCCAAAAATCACATAAGGTACGCGGCAATCTGATGAATGCTAGATTTTACCTTTCGTGAGATATCTGTCTGAATTTACACGGCGTTTAGATCGCGGTACCAAATCTTCGAAGTTCTCACCACTAATCTCAGAAATTAAATGAAGGCCTGCATAAAAACAATTATCGTCGCTATGTCCGGAAATATGTTAAATGAAAAGGCGGAAATCTTAACAAATAATTGTTTAGAGTCCCAGTCAAGCCAAGTTATTGTTTCATTTTTGGTTGCAAGGATTTTTTGTCTCGGGAAGTGACTGTTGCAATTAAGGTCAACACAATTTGTGACAAGTTTTTTCAGCTGGCTTAAAGGAAGAGATTCAAGTTTTTTAGACAAAAAGAACAGCAGTTACTCGATACTTTTTTAATTCCAACCACAAGATTTCTAGCCTGCTGTTACTTCAATTTAGTTTGTAATATCATTCTAAACTGAACTGATAAAGAATATTGGATAGAGAAATAAGAGGACATGGTTCTCGTTGTCAAGGAAAAATTACTAACTGTTATTACGTATCATAAATTAGTTCTCAGTTTTAAATCGTTACCTCTGAGAAGAGAGGAAAAAAAATAAGAAAAAAATCAAATCTACTCAGTATAATTTTGTTATTCTTTATGCAAGTCTTTTTGAGTGAGCTTCCGGCTATGAAAGAAGAGTATCTCAAGTGAAGACAGATGATATAATACTAATGTTGTTTTTACAAAACTCTCTCCAAGTAAATATAATTTCGCACTAATGAAAAGAGTTCAAGTTAGTTCAGTATATTTGGTAACCCAAACTTTCACTTAACTGGTGTAGCCACAGAATAGCAGGCATCCATTGGGGGTGGAAGGGGGAGCTAAAAGACAATTCGATTGTTACTAAGAAAAGAACTTGGTAGACCACGCCATCGTTTTTGCTTTCAGACGGGTAATCATGTAAATGTTCTTTCCATTTTCGACACGAATCGGTCAGATAGGGAACTAGAATAAAGAACTGGCAATGTTTAGTGAGGAAAACAACAACTTAAGTCGTTTTTAGGGTACAGTTGCATGGATAAAACAAATTAAGTCTACAAAGAAAAATTTCAACATATAATGCATGGTTTTGAAAATGGCGGCATTCCTGGTACATGCACACAATATCTTATGGGTGACCAGGAACCTTCGAATGATCCTAGGGTTAACTTTTACGTCAAAGTACTATAATGTATTGTAAATTAACCTCGAATAAAGAAAGATGTTATCCATTTCGTCACAAGTATGAGACAACGGCCTTATCCGAGTCTGCCACAACCAATCGAGCCCCAAAATGTTCAGGTTTTCTATCACTGAGTTATGGAGACCCTTAGGGAGTGAGTTAGTTACAAGGTTAATGTGTGATATGCACCATGCATACTGCTAGAATTAACAGTGTCGATAGCTTCGCGTGAGCTAATAGAAAAGCAAAGATGACGTTATCCTGATAAAGAAAGATATTATTCCATTTGCTACGACTTGGAATGAATCGCGTCTGATTTTCAGTAAGTTTATCTCAGGTTGCGAGGAAAGATTTTGATAGACAAATGAAAATAATTGAAAGGTGTTACATTCTTTTCAATTCCATCTTAATTAATTTTGATCGAACCGGGATTCATTCTGTCAGGTAAACCTAAAACTGAGCCCAAGTGAATGTGATATTATTACCGCAGGATATGAATCATTATTTGCACGAGATCCAACTCTTGCAATTGGAGACTGCCAATTTTCTAACCTAAGAAAAACCGATCATTCTGACTGAGGCAGATTTGCTAAGAATGATCTTTAACTTAACGTTTCAAAAGGCTGTTTGTGTGAGCTTGATAAAAGTGCCACAAGTGCCCTCGCAGTGTTTCCACAAAGTTTCATTTGAAAATTGAATGTTTCTTTAACCTGGAGTTGTCACCGTTTGCACGAAATTTGGTGTTTTTTGTCCCGAGTTGGTGTTAACGTATTTCGCCTTTATTATAAGTGAATGATGAGCTCGTTGAAGCGAGCACAGTCCAGGTCATTTGAAGCATCTACATCCTTATTTGGCTTTGGTTTATACCGACCGATATTCAACCGCTCAAACGACTCAACTGTTGTAGAATTCAAATGGTAATTCTAGCAGATATATCCCTACTTATTGCATCGCATAAAGGTCTCCACTCTTTTGGATTCATTTCTGAAAAGTTCAACCTGAAAGTTTCTTCGACGTTCTTTCGAAAAGGAGGGTTCGTTTACTGTTTAAGCAAGGTTGGCAGGGAGTTTGAAATAACCCTTTTTTTTTATACAGCTTGGATGATGGCGGAAGCGTAGCTAAGAGCTAGCATAGCTTAAATCTGAAATAAAAAAATTCCTAATTCAACATATTCTTAAACCTAAACTCATTATTTCGTATCCCAGAGTTTGATTTATACAAAATTTTACCTTTCGTGAGATATTCGCTCCTATCCACTTACAGTGCAAGCCTCGTTATCAAATAGTCGAAGTTGTTATAACCAATCTTGAATGAAAGCTTCGTACACCTTAATCCTATGAAAAACAGCAATTAACGTTGCTATGCTCGGAAATATTTTCAGTGAGAGATATATATTTTTAACGAATAATTGTCCAGGGTCCCAGCGAAGCCAGGTTATTGATACATGTTTCAGGTATGCGGGGATTCTGTGTCTTAGAGAGTTTTTTTTTTTTTTCGCAGGGTCAACACCATTTGTGACAAGTTTTATCAGCTGACTCAAGGGTAGAGATTCATTTATTCATGCAAAACAAAAACCAGTGCTTTGATCTCTTGCAGGTTAAATCGCAATATTTCTACCATGCTGTTACTTCAATTCAGTGTTATAAGTTTAAAGAACCGATCAAGTATATTGGGGCCGATCATTGGGTGACATGATCTCGTTGCCACGGAAAATTACTAGTATCGCACGTCAAAAATTAGCTCACAGTTTTAATTGTTAAATCTTAAAAAAATATATTTTAAGAAATAATAACTTACGTGCCTTCTTCCCAAACAAATGCCTCAATACAACTTTTCGATTCTTTAACCAAGTCTTGCTAAGTCAGTTACCGGCTCCGGAAGAAGGGTTTCTCGAGTGACGACGGATGACAGAATACTAATGTTGTTTTTACAAATCTCTCCCAAAGTAAATATAATTCCTCTAGATAATAAAAGGAGCTTGAATGAAAACATCACTGTTAATTAAAAAATTTTGACAACCCAAGTCCCGCCCCCCAAATTGGAAATGGCCATTTGAAATTTTCACTTGTGACCAACGAATACCTTCTCGATTCCTTAAGATCACTTTAAGAAGTGACCGGTGGGGAGCGCATAAATGACAAGATCAAGTAAGGGGGTTATATTTCTGATGTAAACAATAACTCCTTCAACAGGAAGAACATTTCGATTTACAAGATTTGCCGACATGCAGGGACACCAAAACAGCTTTGCGCCAATTACTGCATTTCAAATAATAACTTGGAAATTTCATAATTTGACAAACAAATTTGAAAATTTAATATATTTTATTAGATGTGTGTGTCTTGTCAAGAGCTACACTGATATCTACAAGGTGCTAAATCACACAGTGAGCAATTTTCGAATTAACAAGAAACAAAATCAACGTAATTTAATACGCGCAGTTTGTGAAGGTTGAGTTTGAATCGATCAAAGAAAGGAAACACTCGTAGGAACCAGTTAGCATACCAGCTGTAAAACTTCAATAACATTAATCAAATCATAAAATAATTTAAGAGTGTTCTTTTCCTTTTATAATCACAAAAATACCCGGTAAATCCTGAAAGACGACTGTAAAAAGATTAAGCTTGGAAGAGATGGCTTCAAAGCGGATTTTCTGTCGTAAATTTGAAAGTGTTTTCATTCAGTGTCATGTTATGCAATAATGCCTGGGAAATACACTTTTTTGCCTTTCGTGAGATATCTGCCCGTAATGACTCGGCATGTATGTTACGATATCAAGTTATTAGTATGCATTTAAAATACACAAAAAGCAATTATCGTTTGTTATCTCTAGATCTATTTCTGGTACAAGGTATGCTTGTCTTTTGTGCCGGACAAGGTTGTTCGTCTTTTGGGAGAATTTCTTGATCCGAATTCCCGCCGTGACCACAGGGAATTGTTGCTATACGTTCAACCCCTGTTAGGGGTCTTCAAAGTTTCCTTCTCAGTGTAAGGATGCAAAATACTTTTCGAGCGGCATGCTGATGTACCATTCGAAGGCAGAGTACAATAAATAACAGCATTCATCGCTGTTATGAAGCAAAAATCACATAGCAGCAAGTAATTTAATACTTGCTAACTATAATTGAAGCTTTCCGAACATGTATCACATGACTTTTTAACCTAAGTGATGCGAACTAAGACCACCAGTACTAGATAAACTATCAATTTCGGAACAGTTGAACAATGCATTTGTTGGAGGAAGCACGTCAGATCGCTCTGACACTAGATTCACGATTCAGGTTTTGAATCATTGTGTCATACATGTTTCACTCAGCTTGGAGTTTAGGTTTGTTGTTGGGAGGGATAACGCACGAGGAACAAAAAGTAGCGTGGGCGGACGCTGTTTTCCTCATGTGATCAGGAAAGTATACGAAATCTTAAATAATTGTTTTCGTTCTAGCAGCTTGAGTTTTGGATTACTTAAGCAGTTCGTGTTTGATAAGCAATTTCATACGACAAAGATTTAATAGAACAATATAAAATCATTTCTAATTACATGAATGCTATTGAAGATACAATGTGCCATTACAACAAAAAGCTACAAAATAAAGTATTCAAAAAGATGGAGGAACCTGCGATCCAAAACTGGGACTGTATAACAGGTGTCACTATCACAACTAGACAAAACTTCACAAAGTTTGGAAGTCAGTGCAAAGAAATGGCTGCAAAGAGTGCAAGTTAGTGCAATGAATTGGCTGTTGCTTTTAATTAAGGTTCATCTGACGATAAGGACTTAGTTTTTCAAAGGGCAGCAAGGCCATCCAACGGATACATCGCTATCCAGCAGATAAGAGCCAACAAAAACATACTGTACTGTTCACCGAAGGGAGATTTATTCCATGGATAGCGTTATATACCCTTCAACCAAACGGGGCCTGCTGTCTAAACAACCATTTAACATGGTCGGTAAACAACAGAGTATAAATAAAATTCCACGACTTTCTAGAGAACTTAAAATCTCTCCTTAATTACGTTATCAGTTTTTCTTTAAATGGTATCAATAGTGCATGATGCTCTACTAGCTGCTTGAGGTGTTGATTTTACTTGCCGTGGTGGTAGAGTTAGTAATCCTCATCGTCTTTATTATCATCCTCGCCATCGCCGTGTCTTTGTCATCATCCATCCAATCACGAGAAATTGTCAAATTCTTTCATCACAAGTATTTGACAATTTTTCATTGTATATATTATAACTCGTGAACTCGTGCGGGCGGGAATCCCTCTGCGATAGAGGGCCAGACAGCTAACATCTTGACTTTGAGCGATGCTCGACGAGTTCACCGGAAATTTACGACAAGTATCTGATCAATCTCTTAGCCGAGACGAAACGTAACCAGCCTCGAAATGTTTTGCACAGATAAATTTGTAAAACAGTACTTTTCACCAATCGTGAGAACATTATCACAGGCTGTCTCCTGTACACTCCTGCAAACCATTCAAGACCATTGGGAGGATTGATTTGTTTGTTTGTTTGTTTGTTTGTTTTTCTCACCAGACCATGCAACACTAAAACCGTTCACACCACAGCGTACTGTTCATATAAAAGCTCCCGGATCTTGTAGTAGTCGTCACACACAGCTCCTTCGAGGCCCACGCGGCCAGTCTCGTTCTGAGAAAGATCACAAAATAAAGACACGAGGCATGAAAATTCATTGTATTGAGGAAGAGATACAAGCTGCCAAGGCTGACTGATTACTGATCCAGTTGTGCGGAGAGGGTAACACTCATGAAATTACAAACAAGATGACGCCTTCAAAACGTTTCAACGGCGAGTTTGAACTTGAAAAGACATAAAACTGATCTTTAGCTCACCCTTCTTACAGCTACAACATTGTTGCAAATAAGAACGCCGCCAGCAAATTCTGCTTGAATACCGGCTTTGTTCAACACTTGCTTGAAATCTGACAAGCGAGGCTCGTTTATGTACACAGACGTGTGTCCCGTGATCTGTGGAGAGATGACACCGCAAGGTTTCAAATTTTCCACACGGGAAGGGGTGGGGAGCTTGGGGGATATTGTCTATTTGGAATATTTATTGTTTTTTCATTTCATTAAAGGCAACATTGCTATAAACATTCGTTAAGGAAGACACCGGCTAACGAAATAAGAAAAAAAATCAGGAGCGAAAATGGCGAGAAACCTCAACAGATGATCGACTTGTATGAATCACATTCATTTCCTTTTGACTGATAAACATGTCGGGTTAATACCACTCAGATAGGATTTGAATTGTTGAAGATTGTCTACTCAAGGTTCGTGTAGGAACAATATCACGTGCATTTTCGAAGTACTCGCCACAGAAGACAAGCGCTCAGCCAATTAGGATCAAGTTACTATTCTCTTCAGACCATCAAAATATTCTGCGCCAATCGGCATTTAGCAATTTGTTCCGTATGTGAAATGAAAATAACATAAAAACTTATCTTCTTTTTTGACACCATTTGAGCAAGAACTCAATAAGGTTGTGTTAAAAAACCTACCGAAGATGTCGGTAGTTGCTCCAACACTGGGACTGTATCTGCTGGCTCCTCCTTTCCACTCTGATCAGTTTCCATTTTTTCGTGACCTTCGTCCTCGTCACGCAACTCTCCGTCTTCCAAAACCAGCCCCATGTGCGACTCGGACGCGTTCATATGTAGCTGTCCATCCACCCAGGCAAGTTCTGCATCACGCGCGCAGGAAAACTGTAACGAACTCACCAGGGCGTCACGCAATTTCACCTATGGGTCAACCGAATAAAATATTGATTCTTAAAATTATTTGAACGCGTCATATGCGCGTGAGAGGACTGTAACGGAGTACACGTTTGTCGCATGTCACTCATGTTTGCTTTCAGTAGCTTTCGGGTGAATAGAAACCCACTGAGGTTTCGTCTGTAACTTGGGTCGAGTTCATACAAGCAAGTTTTTTCCCCTTAATTGCCACTTTTTTTTTTGACAGGAAGACCAGTAAAGAAAAAAAAAAGGTTTTTGATGTGACAAGGAAACTTGTCATGGAAATTGTCCAAGGGAAACTCCACTCCAAAGATTCTTCTCTGACACTGTTTTGACAAGTGTTTCTTTGCGAAGAAAAGGTCGTGCACAATGCCATGTCCCCACATACATACATACATACATAGGCTGGTTGACCACTCCCCATGGGGGCTTTTCAGGGCCAATTCCCACCCATCCCAGCCCAGGGGAGGACATCCACGACACAGTGATCTCGTGCGTGGGAAATTAACGTCTCCTACCCCTAACCCTGCAGGAGTATTCGTCCTTAAACCCTACGGTTTATTCGTTCTTATCCGAGAACACTAGAATATCTATCCATTTCTTGATTATAGAAGGTAGCAATTTCTCCTCACTTATTTTAAGACCATGAGTATAGGTCCGGCCGGGGCTCGAACCCTCGACCTCCCGCACAACACAATCCGGCGCTCTAACCGATTTAGCTAACCGGGAGGGGGTTAGCACGCATGACGAACAGAGCAACGTCGACAGCGGTCTGATTTCTAGATAACATAATTCCATGTTCCTCTAGAAAAACTTAATTAAGCAGTAGGTAAAGATGTCTACTTGCATATTTCCTTTGGAAATTAGAATGATAAGAGACTTCTGGCACAGACTACGAGACAACAGCAACAAGCTTCTTCCTGGTCACTCACTTGGTAAATATATCTTTCTCCCGTGGAGTCCACAGTGTCACCACATCGCGGAGTAAAAACCTGGTTCACTTGAATGCTGCTGTTCTGCCGACAGTATTCCGCCAAGTGTTCTGTAGCTTCTGCAACACCGTGCACGAGAATCTGCAAAAAAAGGAAAAACATGTCAAAACAAAAAAAAATCGATGAAAAGGCCAATAATGCCTTGAACTTATCCAGCTTTACGTAGAATCAAGCGACTAGGACGCCCCTTGAATGGGATGCTGGACCATTGTAGTGTCAATCGATTACTGGATGAAGTTCCAATGTGGATGAGGCAACAAAGATCGTCAGGTGAAGAACAAAAGGTTATCGTTACTGCCGCTTTCCCGACATTCCATATTTCTGACTTTATTACGAATGGCAGAGGGCGAAAACATTAAACTGCAGGAGAGGGGAGGGGAGGAGAGGAAATGGGAAACATTAGGAGATGCAGACAGTTGCCTCAAAAGTTTCCAACTGGATTTTAGATAAAATAGACTTACAAGATTCCTTGGATTCACAAGGGAAAGAATTCTCTTGATGGACTCTCCATCTGACCTGCCCTCGAAGTCGATATATACCATGGAACATCTGAAAAGAGACAGGTTCATTGGAATGAATAAAGTGGTACAACCAAATGACCAAAAACATTAGTAATAGTAATCAAAGTTTAATGTCTACGTGGGGCATGGTTACTCATATTGCCCGAGCCAGAGGCTCATGTATGTAACGCAAGACAACATCCCACCCATCCCACCCCAGGGGAGGACATCTATCACACAGTAATCTCGTGCGTGGGAAATTAACGTTTCCTACCCCTAACCCTGCAGGAGACAGGACCTCCATTTATTCGTCCTTATCCGAGAAGACTAGAATATCTAAACCATTTCTTGATGTAATAGAAAGGCAGCATATTCTTCTCAATTATTTTAAGACCTTGAGTGTTGGTCCGGCCGGGGCTCGAACCCTCACCTCCCCGCATATCAGTCCAGCGCTCTATCCATTGAGCTAACCGGAAGGCGGTTAATTCAAACGTGTTAGCTAACAAAGTGGTTTATCGATTTAATTAAGAAAAACAAATATGTTGGACTACAAATTGAAAGCACGAAACAAATATTCTCTCCAGTCTTTCAATGGGTTTACTCGAAAATTCCTCGCGAACACCAAACAACTTCCTAACGGGTCTAGAACATAAGAAAACGAGTTCTACCCAAAGTGCAGTAAATGGTTTGAACCCGGGGGTAACATGTGAAAGTGTAGTGTGATCGTGCGGGTGAGTGTAGTCCTGAGAAGGACTGTTGTCGGTAGCCGTTGAAAGTAGTTAGTGTTGTAGGTTAGGAATTGCGCAGTGTCTCAGTCAAAATTGTGGTTCGTAAATTGTGTTCAGTCAGTCTTGTTGCGAGGTTTCTGCCAGTCTCACCAATGTAGGAGGCTAACCTACAGCACTAACTACTTTCAACGACTGACTCTTATAAATAAAAGATGTTGTTGTTGTTGTTGTTGTTGTTGAAAGTTGTTTTACTAACTTAGAACAGACTCCCATAAACAGGTGTCAACTTCTACCGGCTCCATACAAACGACTCATTCACGACATCAACATTACAAACGAACCGAACAGAACGACCTAACCTTACCGATGGATCGAAACAGACCTATCACGATCGACTTACGCCTCTTGAGTCTTCCAGCCAATAACATCACGGCAAAACTGACCAATCATTTTACACGAACTGTACTAAGAACATTCTACTGACAACAACTATTCACTTGACTCTGATGATGACTTCCGCACAGGTTGTCGAAACGTCAGTCACTACCACCGACAACAGTCCTTCTCAGGACTACACTCACCCGGACGATCACACTACCTTTCACATCTATCCAAAGTGTGCCACAAACAGATAGGGGGTTTGCATTCTAAGACCACCCAAATTTTGGTGATTTAATGTTGTGGTTTGCAAAGGACGGCTAAGAAATGTACAACTTTTAAAACGCACGTGCAAGGCTATTGTTCTGCCCATTATATCTATTGTTTTGTCTCGTCTGTTGCTTAAGGTCCATTGCATCGAATTGCAACACCTCCGCTGCAGTGATTTCCCCAAACAGAAGTTGCTTCCCCATATTGTAATATGTTGAATTATCTTTCGAATACACGATATTTAACTAATAGTTTCATCTCACCTAATGTTTAACTGCCTTTTTTCCACAACACACTTTGTTGGCACTTTTGACATTTCACCTAAAAGACAAACCAGTGAGCTACATTTCTTGGAATCTTTGATGCATCAGCCCATCACAAATATAATAGCTACAAGAAATAGCGATTGATTCAAGTTTTAAGGCCAACATGCTTTATAATAGGAATTTTCATAAATACACTGTATACCCTGTCCAGCACTAGCACCGTAACTTACCCTGCCCAGCAATAGCTTCCGTGTCTAAAGTCTCCTTTTTGCTCTGCTCCTGTTAGTTAGAATCAAACCGCTAAAAATCGTTCGAAATGTCTAATTATTTTGAAGAATTTGCTGGGAAGGGATCAAACTTTCTTCAAATTAGAGATCAGATCGAAAAAGTGAAAGACGATGTTTTTCAGATTTTAACTCGAACGTACGCTTCAAATCAAAGGGCTGAACGGGAATCAAATCAATACATCAGCACTTGAAATAAGTCAAAGAATATCCGGGTAACTAACTCGTTCATCTAGTTTGATCAAGTCTAGGCTGCATCAAGCTCTCCACCTGGGAATCGCCGCGGGATGGGTTTCAATGTCTCGCGTCTTATCTATCTATTTCTCTCTGCTTGGGTGTCCCTTCCCAAAATTGCGAACTTGCTCGAAGGCCATACAAACGCCAGAATAAAGTAGAAAAACACAATTTTTTGAAGAAGAATATGGCTGAAGAACGGTTTAATACCTACGAAATGCACTGGCGACAGAGATTCTTTTAGGAGCGAAACTCGAGTTGTGGAGACGCTTTTTTTTTCATTATAGGGGGGGTGGGGAGAAGTCCTATTAGACAAGAAAGAAACAGCTTTCTTGGAGGAATGTGGAGTGAGAAAGATACAGGCTCAAACATTAACATTTATCAGAAACACGCTGTTCCTCTTCCCACCAAAGAATAACTTTTCTTACCACTTTGGCCTTTTCTTCTTCTGCTGCTGCCAGTTCTTTGATCATAAAATCCTCAGGCCTGTTTGATTAACACAACGAAAAACGGTCACAAAAAGATAAGCAACTTCACGCAACGAGACTTTCCTAACGCTTGGCCATGTTGAACGCTTACAAACAAAAACGGTCTTAGCCTTAAAAAACAACTCTAAAGTAAATTTGGTCACAGGAAAAATCTGCACTTAAAAAAAAAAAAATTCTAAACAGCATTCCCCAGTAAGATTTTCCAGCTTCCCAGTCGGCACCGTACTTCATGAAGCACCCCAAAAAAGTATATCTCAATACGAAAAGCGAATACATGCACAACTAATTGAATTAAACTTATTTCATTCTATTCGCAAGCGATGCAAATAGACGGTACATAACTTAGCATTGGCAATGAGACGCAGCAGAAGATGTAGGCTTAGAAAAGTTGAAAAGATTTGTTAGAATTGAAATATATAGAGGAATTTCAATTTTGCAGAAACGCAGCAAGGAACGTTCGAGTGTTGACTCACTTGATAAACTCTCCATAATCATCCCATTTGATTTTCTCTTCGTGACAGGGGAACATAGGATAAGATCTTGCTTGTTTGAAGAAGCTGCTCTTGCGGCCCCCCTAAATAAAGAGAAAAAGATGTAGAGCCGTAGCGATAGGTTTATACCCATGTATCAGCAAAATTCAATCACTAAAAGGTACATGTACACGAGACGAACAGCTGCAGGAATTTATCTCGAACACTGAAGCCTGAGGCGACCAAGAGTGTTGGGATACTTGTCTATCACAGGTCCCACAGGTTTTCCCCCTTTGGGTATTTTGTCTGTTTTACCAGAAAATCACTGGCACCTATTCATATCATTGAGAGGAGAGAGAGGCCATTAGAGACAAAAACGTCCTCGACCAGCGCTGAAACACCACATTCATTAGCTCCAGGTACTAGCACTGTATATGTTGAACCAACATATCCCTTTTTACTTGGTTTAACAATAGTCATTGCATGACTACGGTGTATGCTCCGCTAGTAGGCAATACGAGACAAATCCTGTGTTTTGATCGGGAATGATTTCTTGCATTGATGCAGCAAAGAGAAAAGAAATTTTGCAGCTGCAAACTTGAGAAAAATAGAGTCATAAGTGTACTCGTCTAAAAGGAACTGGAATACTTGACTTAAGTTATTTATTCTTTGTTGAAATTGTTTTGCCACATAACATATCCTTTTTGGGCCACCTTGAGTAAGTTTGGAGTTTCGCAAATTTCTAGCTTTGCGATTTTTTATGGACCTCAAATATTTAACGGTCCCTAAAAACGCAAAAAGGACGAGGCATAAACGATGCAAAACTATTTTCTCCACTGTGTTTGTAATATTTTCTTACTTTTTCGTCAGTCATCATGAGATCATGCCTCACACCTCCATCCAAGTCTTCATCGCTGTCGCTGTCACTCTCTTCTGCTGTAACACGATGACTGAAGATGATGGACAACACGACAGTTTTTAACAATTCTAACGTAACACAGAATTCCTTCTTTGGGTGATGAATTAACTGTTAAAAACGCAGGTGAAACGGTAACTTAACAACACGGCTTCATTTGTTCAATTACCTTCTATCCACCGCATCAGATGTGGGTTTGTTCTTCTCTTTCTCCTTTTCTTTTTCCATATATCTCTCTAACTCTTCTCCTTCCAGTTTAACTCTTGATTTCACCTGGACACAAGGGAAATAACTATCCCCGTAAAAATCTTTCACTCTTGAAGACTCATTTGTTACGGTAATCAAACTGATTCCTTTGGTGTTATATCGAGTGATTGCCCCTTAGGCCTTTAGCTGACATATTTACCTATTCTATTAATAATAATAATAATAATAATAATAATAATAATAAAGCATTTATATAGCGCTAAGCTCAACTAGTTCTCCGTAGCGCTTTACAAAGTTATAGACTAATTAACATAGCAATTAAATTATAAAAAATCGTAAATTAAAAAGCGTCTTTGAACAAGTATGTTTTAAGGTTCTTCTTGAAAATTGCAACAGATTCAGATGTTTTCAGGGAATATGGTAAATCGTTCCAAAGCTTGGGACCGGCAATGGAGAAGGCACGGTCACCACAGTTCTTTCGAAATGTTCTTGGAACCATCAGGAGCATTTGTGATGAGGAACGCAGTACACGAGAGCCATAATTCCTTTGATGCAACAGTTCAGCAATACAAGTTTAACTTTTTGCTTGATAACGAAGTCATATTTTGAGGAAAAGTTGTGGGTTAAAGGATTTATGATTCACTTCCTGCTAAATTATAATAATAATAATAATAATAATAATAATAATAATAATAATAATAATAATAGTAGTTATGATAATAACAACAATGACGATGGCGATGACAATGATAACGATAATGACAACGTTAACATAAATAATAGTTATAGTAATAACTATAATAAAACACGCACACACAACAAAATAATAAAAATGTGATTTTTGTCTCGAAACGTAATCAGACAACTTTCCCCGTGAACGTAAGAATAGAAGCCATTCAATTCTTAACTTGAATCCGATGTTCTCGGTTTCATCAACAGTGTAACTTAAAATGTTCTTTGACTGATGATAAATATTTCTTATTTTACAATAAATCTATGTACCTCTATATCGATGATCTTCTGCTGTAAGTTGTCAATCAAAGTACGAGCCAGTGCGCCAGGCGAAGCTCGACTAGTAAACACGACTGTATTTTTCGGGTTCTCAGCCCATTTGACGAAGAGTTCTCGTGAGAACCCACACGTCAAATCTGCTACGGATGCTAAAACAACCCTTGGTTCAGGGATTTTGTCCAAGTCTGACATATAGTGACACAACGTGCAGTACCTACAATGAAAGTACAAGTGATATGTTAACAAAAGGCGAGTGAAACAACGTTGTTAAAGGTGCAATTTTTTCCGTAGCTTTTTTCTCAAACCGCATGTAACACTTTGCTGTCGTTTTACAATGTACAATAACAAAATATGATGTTTAATGCATATCATTTACCAACTCCCTGCCACGCAAAAACGATCATATCATCATGCATTAGTGAAAAATCTTGAGGTCTATAATGAATGATGACGAACGAGGAAACAGGGTTTCCTTTCAACCCAACTCATGGGGCAGGCTATGTAATAAACTTCGCTCCGACGAAGGGCTAACGCTCGAAACGTCTGCTTTTGCAATGGTTACGGTGACCAATTTACCATTTCAACTTTGTTGATATATCCAAATTATTTCGTTACCCCCACCGACGCAGCCCCAAACAGTTTCTTTCGAAACTATCAGCCTTTATTAATTTGTAATAAACTGCTACCTCAGACTTACACTAATGGCGACTGAATGCCACAATTCAATGGTAAAATAAATTTGCGTTTAAGTACCAAAATCAGAGGAACTATCCTTTTTTGAACCCTAGCTCCATATGAAAGGAAAAATTCTGACTAATCCTCTATGTAAACTCACTTTCTAGGGGATTGGACTCTGACAAGGTGTTTGGGAAATTGAGATTCTTTTGAACCCATTTACATCTATAGAGGAGAGCAGAGATTTTCACACTTATACAAGGACTGCTTCTGACTGGCTTAATTCAGACCTTGCTGTGAAATGCTTGCCTACTCATTTGATACAAACCTAAAGTGGTAAGGGTTCATCCTTCCAACTTCAAATGATTTCATGACTTTATCACTCATCCATTCCACCTGAAGGGAAAGAGAACATTGTTTTGGTTCTACTGTCCTGTACATACTACTGATTTAGAGGAAATCGACCACATCCATGAAATTATGTTAAAATGTTAAAAGTATCATAATTTGGCCATGACATTCTAAGAAAAAAAAGGTACATACAGTTGATGCCCAAGAACTCAAACCTTCAAGGGAAATTGTAAAAGGTTCAAGTTGTTGGGAGTTTGAGTAACAAAGGGTAAAATAACAGTGGATATATGACGGAAAACCAGAGGAAATAAAATTTGGTTCGAGTTAGTGTGAGGTTCAAGTTGGCAAGAGTTCAAGTTATCTGAAGTCAACTGAACTAAAAATACTCACTTGTGACTTGGCAAACTCCACAACATTGTAGCTGACATTATTCAACATTGCAAGAGAGTAGGCTGATAAACCTGAATCAGAGTTTCGCCATAACTGATCCTATAAAGCAAAAAAGGAAACACCATTGAGAAGCTGCAGTTATCCTTACCCAGAATCCATAGTAAGCCCCCCTCACTCATTAGCCTCTCTTTTCCTGGACCTTTTATCTACATTGTATGCTACAACCATAAGCTGGTCTGCCTCTGAATTGTAGTTAGGTAAGGTTTCAGTACAATTCAAATGACTTATACCTGGGCACAATTCTGGTGTCCAGTTCACAGTTTCAGAAATGACAAGTGAAAAAAGAAATCTTCAAGTACACTGTAAATGTCTTGCTGAGAAGACATATAAATTATGTACCATGGTATTAACAACTTACCAATATATGACCATGAAAGTGATCTTTTCGATAGTGAACACTACTCGAGCAGTGGTGAAAATAAGGCCTGTGCTCTAACAACTGAGCTAGAGTAGTATTCATTACTACAAAGATTGTTTTCATAATCATTTCTTAATCCACAGTTCAAAAATATGATTTTCATATATTCACAGTCAAATTACCAATAATAAAGGCTGATAGTTTCGAATGACACTGGTTGGGGCTGCGTCGATGGGAGTAACGAAATAATTTGGATATATCAACAAAGTTGAAATGGTAAATTGGCCACCGTAACCATTACAAAAGCTGACGTTTCGAGTGTTAGCCCTTCGTTAGAGCGAATAGAGGAATTGTGGGTTGTGTGTGCTTTTAAAGGCAGAAAATGGAGCTACATTATTGATGGGAACATGGCAACGAGAAAAACAAGAATAAATTAGTGGAATGAAAATTACTTGAAAATTACATATTGTCAAATTACCAATAGTTGAGATAGTTCCAACACTCTTCCAGCAGTATCCACAACAATGAGTACATTACCATCTCTCCTTGCTGTAGTCAAAATCTCATCTTTGATAAGCAAAGAAAAAATATGAAGGTTAACATGAAGTAATACAACGTATATAAGCGACAGTATTGTTAGTCTGTGTCCTCTAATTCATTGCAAATGCAAAGGTAAAGGCCAGATTTAACCTTTTCATCATAGATTTACCTAGTATGTTTCTCCATAATTCCAAATATACATGGGTCTAAAGTTTTAATGTGTAACTCTTTGGTATCTGCGAGACAATGTATTTCCTTTCATAAATGTACAATGTACATGGATATTCATAGTGATTGTACCATTGATGGGCAAATATAAATGAAAGCAAAAAGTAACAATTTTTCAACCGTTTCAGAATTCCATCTAACTTTTTGTTTTTCGTTTTGCTATTTCTTACTCATAAGCTTGGTGTCCCTCTCTCGTCTTCTGGCTTGCACATTAAGTGCATTGTAGCTGTCTGTAATAAGCAAAGATGGTCGGCTGAGGGTCTCCAGCACTGCTCCATTCAGATGTCTGGTAAGCAACAGGCCAAAATCAGTTACCATGGCTCAAATTTTCTGATAATCTGGAGACCACAACTTAAAGGTCAGGTGTTGTGGAGCCATTTATTCAAGGCAGTTAGCAGCATTTCAGGATGAAAGTTTACAGTTGAATTTAATTTTGATATTTTTATATGAAAAGGAAATTTCATGGCTAATTAACTCACTCAGCCAAAACTGAAAAAAGCTCAAGATAAGCGAAGAATTACCAGCTACAAATCTTGGGTAAATTTAATCATATTTAGAGTCATACAGCCTGGGAGCTTAAGCAGCCAGCTATTACTGAAACTTTTCCTTGACCAACACCAATCACATAAAGTGGTGCATACTATTTACATACTGTGCTCCTTGTCTGGTTGGACTTGCCAACCTTAATGTGTGATTCAGGGGTGAGGAGAAATTAGATCCTAGTCACTCATAGCAGTTAAAGGGCTAGAGAACTTTGTCCTAGATCCACGAACATGATCTGATCAAATGCATGTTCAAATGGTGTATTTTTCCTTTACTATGATTAGCTTTCTTACCCACATTTGTGCACCTTTCAGAAATAAATAAATAATCTACTTTAGGGTTGATTAAGAAACTCGGCAAGGTTATTACCAGAGAAAGGAATAAATATCACATACAACTCCCATACTCAGACCTTATTAACAACCCACAATAATATTTTAACACTTCACACTCTAAAGTCAGCATGCACATTCTCCATACTGTTCTCCAACAAGGAGAATTTGGTTAACAATCAAAAGCTTCTTCAGTTGGTAATCATTTGTTTTATTCTTGTGACACTAATATGTGAACATTTCGAAACACATTTGATAATAATTATTATTAAAAACTGGATCATTGTATAATGCAATTCAAGACTTTTTATTGGCTTAGCCATTATGGTATATGAGCCAATATACCATAATCTACAAATATGGTAAGCGTACGCGTCAGCTTAAAATCAAAAGGGAGCTAAAAAATCCTGTTTCTTCTTACAAAATAATAGTTTCTTGGGCGCGTTTTTAATAAAACAATTATTCCACTCGCGCTTGTTGGATATGAGATGATTATAGCCAACTCGGCGCTACGCGCCTCGTTGGCTATCTATCATCTCATATCCAACGCGCGCTCGTGGAATAATTGTTTTATTAAAAACGTTAAATTAAATTATTAAATTTTATTAAATTTTTAGCTCCCTTTTAATTTTAAGCTGACACGTACGCTTGCCATATTTGTAGATTATGGTATATTGGCTGATATACCATAATGGCTAAGCCAATAAAAAGTCTTGAATTGCATTATCCAATGATC